TGCAAACCTAACGGTAAGTGACTCAAAATCAAAGAACATGCGTATTTACAATATTATTATTATCTTTTCCGGTGAAGGCTCAGCAGCCGTTGCATTCGTTTTCGCGCACAAAACGGTGACTCGCAGAGAAAGCAAGAACGCAGCGTTTATTGCCTTCATTTTAGCAATGTACACGCATATGCAGGCAAGGCATGCAGGCTTGCGCTGATGATGCCTCAAAACCGAAACTCTCGTAGCATGATTTGTGACTGCGCCACGCTCGCTTCTACCCAACCTCGTTGTCACGCCACTTCTGCAAGGAGTCACAAAAATTGCCACTAAACACACAGGGCGGTCACGTAACCCCCAGAAAAATTTTTCCACTAGATTTAGCGAGGAAGTTTTTCCGCTAGATTTAGCGGGGAATTTTTTCCGCTTGATTTAGCCGGGAAAGATTTCCACTAGATTTAGCGAGGAACTTTTTCCGCTAGATTTAGCGGGGAAATTTACCATAAATGCACCGCGCAATTAGGCCGACGGCGACGACGCCGCCGCTCAAGCCAGAAACGGGCGCCTAAGAGCTGCGCTCTAAAAAAAATGTGGGTCTATATTTTTATAAATATGGTAGTTGAAAGAGCTGGCAAACTTTGACTTCAATCAGGTTTCAGTGCTGTTTTTTGACCACAAGTGTAGGTTTTATAATGTTTGTGGGTGGGCGTTTTGCAGTTTATTATACTAGTCTTGAGTTTAGTAGGTTATAAAACTTGGGAGGACACAATTTAATTGATAGACGCACTAGCGGATATGCTGGTCTTTGCTGGCATTTTACGGAAATTATTTTTACAGGCGGAATAAACTATTGGGTGTAAAAGTTGCTGGGTAGATTAGCTTTATCCTGACTGAAGTGTTGCGCAACAATTCATTTTTCGATTGTGAATACCCATTGTGAATGGAACCGGTACCCTGACCAGAGCCTTATTTATAAAAAGAAAGCTCTGTGTTCCTTTTCTGTCATATCTACTTTTTTCACCAAAGGTATTTCCGTATTTACTTGCATAATCCTCAGACTTTTTTTCACAAAATTAATGGAAAGTTAGGGGTGCGAGAATTGCGTGGGGAAAATATTCCGCAAAAACGTAAATTGGGGTTCTTGCACCGGCAGCTGCCTACAAGGTTTGAGAACTACCAATACAGGACTTACCTTAACAAAAAAAGCACAGTTTCAACACAAAGCAAGATCTATTTGCAAACACAGCCTGAGTTAAGACTTCCCTACGTCGCTGATAACGACCTCAGTCCGAATCAGTCCTATACTTCGTTTCAGCTTCGGTCCAGACGGAGCCGATGCTACAAGCGCGAGCATGTGGCCCACAGCAGCGCTTGCACTGCACGAGCGCGCGTGCTTGGCAGGGATGCTGAAAGCCCGGAGCTCGAGCTTGTAGCTTTGGCTGCGTCTGGACCGAAGCTGAAACGAAGTATAGCATCGCTGGTTGTCGTAGGCGACGCGACGACCACGAGCTGCGCGAACGCCGTCTAATTGCGCGCAAGCGAAACTGGCTCAATGACAGTGTGACTAGCGTCTGAGAGATGGCGTTTGGAGTATTAAAAGACTCTGGCCAAACGAAGTGGCGCGGTGCCGGAAAATGCGGGCAATGGAGAGCGCGTGCATCATGCGGGTTTCACGAGCAGGCGACTTTCGCCGCTGCAGTTTTGGGGGTGCGAGGAAAAGGAAACCAGCTCGCCTGCACCCTTACTAACTTATCTATTTATATCAGAAAAATCCAATTTTTGGTGGCTCACGATTACGCGAATGCGAGGATTACGCGAGTAAACACGGTAAGCGATATGCTTCAGTAACAAAGAGGAACCGTCAGTCATTATTATAGATGAACTCATTTTGAGATGCAATCACTTTTTCATTCTCAGATGATCTGCTAAGAGATGTTGGCATTTGCTCCAAAAGCGTCAGCGGCTGCTCCAAACCAATATTTTGCCTGCTACAAAACCTGCTAAAAAGAGGTCAAATGCCGCTTCCATCACTGCCGATTTTGCATTTTGCTTCCTTGAAATGCATTGTTTTGTCTGGAAGCAAGGTAAAGAACGGAACTTCGCTACCTATGGTCAGCGACATCCGGTGTCGTCGCTCACCTCGTAACTTTGGTCCCGTTGCAGCGAAGCAGTCCCCGTCGAAGCAGTGGAGTCACGACTCTCCGGACACTCCCGTGGAACCGAGCGGTCGGGATTCTAAGGAGGCTTCCCCCGGTTCCGGACCAGAATCACCCGAGCGGCAGCCCCCGCTGTCGGCGTCCAACTCTATGGCGTTCACGATTCCCTTCGACGACGACGCCGGCGGGACGCCGGGCAGACGCTTCGGCCTCAAGGACAGCATAAAGAAGTTTGCGCCCCCCAAGCCGGAGGCCGAGCGAACGCCGACCAAGCTCCGGCCGTCTTCGGTTTCGCTGGCTAAAGACGTCCCTGGCGCCAAGAAGGTGTGCTGTCTTGTTGCTTTGGTGTGGACTTTGGGTTGGGGAAGGGGGTGCACGGCCGACGTGGTCGGCTGCCTCTTTGGCGTCGCCCGAAGGCATCATAAAGGCACGGCATTCGGAACACCTTTGCTCACGTCCTCCCTAAACCATGGCCCGTTGCGCACGTTACGCACCACGCCGACCGGATTATCCGTGGACCGGCATTTGGACTGCCGGTCCGCCGCCGCATAATCGCGACGGGCTTCCTGTCGCTGCTGGGCCCAGCACTCTTGTTTTGCAGCCCTTGTGCCACTGATATTCGTATTCGATTCATATTTGAAAATTTCAATATTCACACACCCCTAGTTTTGAGGAATTTCATGGTGCAGACAAAGAACTTGTTATCTACACTAGTACTTTCAGACTTCTGAACTATTCCAGCGGTGATTGCTAGCCTCTAATGCCACCTCACTTTTTTTTGCTTTTCAAGGTCGCACCAACTCCGCCAGGCTTGAACCAGAATGGCGTGGATACCAAACGACGGTGGAGTGCTTTGGAAGGTCGGGGAGCCAACGGTAAGGAAACGGCTATGTAATGCAGGCTCTGGTGTCCGTGTAGGTGTGTGCGTGCACGGGTAGACGCAAACATTCGCTTTTACAGCATGTGGGAACAAATGCAAAGGTGGGTTTGCGTTGAGGGACGTTGAACATTAAAGCATACGGTTAATCCGCCGCCCCACCTGCGGGTTCCTACTTGCTGGTGAAGAATTAACGCTTTGTCAGAGCTGTGGATGGCATACGCCTTTCTGTTCGGTGTATTCTTTCAACATAAAATGTGTTCTACGGCTGGCTCCTAGCAGATTCTCGTAATACAGATTTCACCGGGATGAAAAAGGCACCCCAAAAAGCATACAAGTAATCTGTTTCGAATCGAGGTCTCTCTCGGGGGGTGGGAATTCGGCACTGGAGCAACCATGCCAACAGCCGGTTCAATGCGTGTAAAGTACGCCGTATCGAAGCGAAGCATGGACGCCTGCGCACGCTGAGCTATCGCAGTCACTTCACGCACTGTGGCGGAAGGCTGCGAATTTTTCTTCATCAGACATACCGTAATTACCCGATTCTAACACGCTCCCGATTCTAATGCGCACCCGTTTCTCCAGGCCAACAAACCAGAAAAACTTTCACCTCCGATTGTAACGCGCACGGAACTTCTTGATCAAGAACAACGAATGCGAGAGAAACAGGCGATTTATTTACTGAAGTAGTCACTCATCTCCCTCCTTGTCGCTCTCCGAGAGCTCTTTGTTGCTCTCCGCTGACCACAGCATGTCGTCCTCGGTGCCGTCAAGCGCGTTCGCTATGCCACACTTCTTAAACGAGCGTTTAAGAAGCTCCGAGGACAACATGTCGTCCTCGGAGCTTCTTGATGAACTCCACCAGCTCGTCCTTGATTTCCGGAAAGTGGCCTCTGTGTGGCCCGTTAAATCCTTTGCGGGTGGCCTTGCTTTGAAATATGCGGTCTAAGTTTTCTCCAGTCGCGCACACGCGTTTCAGGGACGCCGAAAGCACGCGCGGCGGCTCTGTTGCCGTCAGTTCGGCACACATAATCACTCTTTTCTTGAAACCGGCTTCATAGTGGAAGCGGCAGACCTTCGTTGCCGCTGCTGCCATTGCGCGCAAGTAAGCGCGCAAGTGGGGCGACTTGCGTGAATGCAGAAGGAATAAAGAAGGAACAAAATGGTTGCTAAAAGCACGGAGGAAAGATGGCAAAAAGCTTCGGCGCCATCTTGAGATGGCAATGGCAATGGGTGGAACGAAATTTCCGCTGTTTTGACGGTTTCGGTTTCGTATCCGATTCTAACGCACATGCGATTTTTTGGCCTATTTTTCCGGAAAAAAAGATGCGCATTAGAATCGGGTAATTACGGTATTCATTTATTTATTTCAGATAAGGGTCTCGTGAATGGGGGTCAGGGGGAGTCCCGTCCATCCTCCGGCTGGAAGTCCGACCTCCCCAAGTCCTCTCCCAGGCAGGACGAGCGGCTGAGCGACTCGGCGACCTACCTCATTCAGCGGATGCTGAACGACGGGCCGCCACGAGCCCCGCTTCCCGGTACGCCAGACCCTAAGCTGAAGCGCGAGCCTCACCAAAATAATTGAATTGGTTTTATTTAGAGTTTGCAAATGAGAATGGTTTTCAACACAAATAACATAACAAGGAAGGCAGGAAAGGTGCTACAGTGTAGACCGCATATAACGTATGTCGCGGGAGTCGCGAAAATCCGCACTATAAGCGGTACCGCGCTATAACCAAAACATCAATTTTTCAGGCCAAAATACATGCCATGAGACAACTTACCTTTGTAAAAGAATTTATCTTATGTTAGATGAAAAATAAAGCTTAGTTTGAGGAAAGTCTTTATTTCAGCAGACTGGTACAGTTCTGTCTCAAGTGTGTCACACATTCTGAAAGAAATTAGCGGCTTTTGCCTGGCTTAACGGCGTCGCAGGTTGCGGACGGACGTTGCGAGCGTTCAGGATTGCTAACCCTAATCCCTTTTCTCCGGGGATGAAAACGCGTGAAAATTCGCATCCTTCGTACGGTACGCGCCAGTAATACCTTGAACTTGAGCACACGCATGAAATGCGCCAAATAAGATATCCGGGCGATGTTCGAGGACACAAATGCTTGGAAATCACCACTGTAGTCGAAGTAAACAAACACGACGACTCGGGTGTTTCTGCCGTCTTGAGAGCACCGCCACGACATCGCCGCACGAGTAGGTGGATCTGCCCTTCTAGTACGTGCTGGGTTATCATAGCGACACACAACGAAAATTCAGTCAAGGAAAATGCTTTTATGCAGAACGATCAACGATGAGATGAACGCCGTCTACGACGACGATCACAACCGACGCCATGTTTGCGGATAGAAGCAGCCGGCCGGCCGACCCGCGACTGCCGCGACCGGCATGCAACGCGCGCGAACACTTCTCCTCGATCTGCGATTGGTCTGTCGGTGCGGTTGTTTGTTTCTTTGTTTCCAACGCAGCGGAGGGGCGGAGGGACGCACGCACGTGAACGACGCGTGAGTGCGTCCCTCCGTCGCTATGGCAACTGAAGCCTCTCTCTTCGCTTCTTTCCACTTCTTCGAGCAACATCCTCGCCCCGCGCCGTCAGCGCCGTTATCTAGTGTCGCACAGGGAAGCGTGCTCGCTGCTCCGGTCGTCGGCGCGGTCGGCGGGCTGTGCCGAAAACCGCACTATAACCGGTATTTCCCTTCGCGCGCCTGCATTTTATGCGGTATGTAAATACATGGAGTTCTATGGGAGGCGAACCGGTGGTTTAAAAAAACCGCGTTATACCCGGTCCTGCACTATAAGCGGTTACGTTGTAAGTGGTCTATACTGTATTTGTTCTTGAAATGTACCGACTTGCGCAGCAATGCACTTTAAAAGAATGGATTTCCTCTGTTGTAACGGCTTCCCAAGGCTGTCGCAGCAGAGCGGTGGTTTTTGACCATTGCTGCTTTAGGTTGGCAGAGGTGGGGTGTTGCTACGGCGAAGGTGTTCGCCGATTAGGGTGAGAATGGGGCATATCAGTGCAGCTAATTGCACGTACGAAATAAACTTCTTTTGTCGTAATGATTAAAAAAGAAATAGGCTTTTTTGTTTTCGGGCTTTACTGGCACGCGAGGGCTTCGCAGACCTTGGGAATGCCTTCCCCGAGTTTTATTGTAGAACCACTGCGGTAGACTCCAATCGGGATGTTGAAAGAATGACGGCATTTTGAGTGACACAGCTTGCACATGCTTTAGACAAAGGAGCATAATCACAAATACAGATATTTTCATAGGATTTTCTCGGCCGTCTGAAGGTGATCGCCGATATCTTTGGAGTGCAAAGAAACTTGCAAATTTTTTCCATCCTATCGTCTTTGGCTGGATACCTCATTCACACTTGGGGATCTGCGCCAAACTTTGGTGCTGGACCGCAATTTTTTGCATCCTATCTTCTTTGGCTGGATACCTCATTCACACTTAGGGATCCGCGCCAAACTTTGGTGCGGGACGGCAAAATCCACTTGCAGCTAGCTGGCAGAGTATTTGGCCGCTAGAGCGATTGGCCCTGGACCAGTCTTTTCCGTGCAGAAACCGTTTTCAGGTTGCTGGATCCGTCTAGAACGCATGGCTTGACTGCCAGCATTCCTGCGTGATAAGCTGCATTTAGTGCTGCATGCCTTTCGGCACGCGTAGTACAAACACAAAAGCGATAAAAATGCTTCTACAGCAAAGCTGTTATGCGCTGTTATCTGCAGAAAGCCTTCCTTGGCATTATTAGATAGTGAGGTCCTGATCCCTTGTTGTCATCTCTAAACATCGTCTTTGAGGTCGTCCTCTAGGCGATGTCCTCGAGGTCGTCCTAGAAGTTGTCCTTGAGAGCGTCCTCGAGGTCGTCCCAGACGTTGTCCTTGAGGTCATCCGAAAGGTTGCCTACGCGTCGTCCTAGACGTCATCCTAGACGTCGTCCTCTAGGCCTCGGCCTCGAGGTCGTCCTAGAAGTTGTCCTCTAGGCATCGTCCTAGACATTGTAAAAATAATAGCTTCGCTGGTCCTCGATCTTCACGTGAATAGGAAGGGCTCTACAATTTGTTTTCTACAGTATAGACCACTTACAACGTAACCTCTCAGAGTGCAGGACCGGGTATAACGCGGTTTTCTTAAACCACCGGTTCGCCTCCCATAGAACTCCATGTAATTACATACCGCTTAGAACGCAGGCGCGCGAAGGGAAATACCGGTTATAGTGCGGTTTCTGGCACAGCCCGACGACCGCGCCGACGATCGGAGCAGCGAGCTCGCTTCCCTGTGCGACACTAGATAACGGCGCTGATAGCGCGAGCCGCAAGCGTTGCGCGAGCGGCACTCGCGGGGCAAGGAGGTTGCTCGAAGAAGCGGGAGAAGCGAAGAGAGAGGCTTCAGTTGCCCTAGCGACGGAGGGACGCACGCACGTGTCGTTCACGTGCGTGCGTCCCTCCGCTGCGTTAAAAACCAACAACCGCAACGACAGACCAATCGCAGGTCGAGGAGAAGTGTTCGTGCGCGTTGCATGCCGGTCGCGGGCCGGCTGCTTCTATCCGCAAACATGGCGTCGGTTGTGATCAACGTTGTGATCGTCGTCGTAGACGGCGTTCATCTCATCGTTCCGCGTAAAAGCGCTATCCTTGACTGTGAATTTTCGTTGTGTGTCGCTATGATAACCCAGCACGTACTAGAAGGGAAGATCCACCTACTCGAGCGGCGATGTCGTGGCGGCGCTCTCAAGACGGCAGAAACGCCCGTGTCGTCGTGTTTGTTTACTTCGACTACAGTGGTGATTTCTAAGTATTTGTGTCCTCGAACATCGCCCAGATTTCTCATTTCGCACATTTCATGCGTGTGCTCATGTTCAAGGTATTACTGGCGCGTACCGTATGAAGGATGCTAATTTACATGCGTTTTCATCTCCGAAAAAAAGTGATTAGGGTTAGCAATCCTGAACGCTCGCAACATCCGTCCGCAACCCGCGACGCCGCTAAAAGGCTGCGCCAGGCAAAAGCCGCTCATTTTTTTCAAAATGTGTGACACTCTTGAGAGAGAAGTGTACTAGTCTGGTGAAATAAAGACTTTCCTCAAACCAAGCTTTCTTTTTCATCTAACATAAGATAAATTCTTTTACAAAAGTAAGTTGTCTCATGGCATGTATTTTGGCCTGAAAAATTGATGTTTCGGTTATAACGCGGTACCACTTATAGTGCGGATTTTCGCGACTCCCGCAACATACGTTATATGCGGTCTACACTGTATTCCCCCCTTCACGTGGCCCAATAGTTAATAAATTCCCTCCCACACCCCACTTCTTTTCCCACCTGATCTCCTGCATTGAGCCGGAGGGATGGCTTTCTCCAGACTTGCGCACCTCATGGCTGAGCTCCATTCCAAATATAACGCGAGGAGTGTTTTGGAGCTTGTAATTAAAAAAAAACAAAAAAAACTCTCATTATATTTGGGCAAACACGGTAATTGTGGCGGGTTAGCCCCGTGTGATGCACTTCTCATTGAGCACCTGAGCACTGCGGGGAAGCAGTGCCCGCAAGCTCCGTGGGTATTGCTCCTCCGCAGTGCACATGTGCTTGGAAAGAAGTGCACTTTAAGCGATACAAATCAACACATTTTTGTGCTCGTAGGAAGTGCGGCTCTCGGAAATTGCGTGTTTCGTGACGTCACGCTGATATCGTGTGCCTTCCGGGAATGCACAAGAAAGTTTAATAATTTCAACTTTTCCTGAAGGCGCAAGAAAACGCGCTGTGACGTAGTAGGGCGCTCTTGTCTCCCGGCCAATCGGTGGAGGGCACTAGTTCTGGCTCCGCATTTCTTCACCGTCTGGTGCAGGTGCTCTCTGCTTGCTTGCAAGTGTGGCTGCGTCTATAAACTTTCCTCCTGTTTCCGACGCTAGGAAGGTGGCTTCCGCAGCTGAAAAGAAGGCTGCTGTGGCCGCGCAGAGGAGAGGGTGAAGCTGCATTTTGACTGGTCGTCACTCCACCGCCAGTGTGCGCTCGTGCATGCGTGCGCGCTCGCCCGAAGCCGCACCGTCCTAACTAACGCACATGGTTGTGACTCAGAAAGCGCCCTGGAAACAGCGAAAACTTCATGAAATGCGCAATTTTCAGTAAGCGCACGGCCTATGTGCACACAGAAACATGTTAGTTTAAATCGCGCTCAACGGGGCTAACTCGTTGCAATCAACAGTTTGAAAAGGATGAATATTGCAATTCATCTCGAAGCGAATAAACCTACTATTTGAAAATTCAAATATTTGCACAATTCTACTATCATCTCAGTGTATGGAATCTGTACCAAACTAATGGAGGCCTTTTGGAGGGCATATGAGGTCTGTACGTTCGAGACGTCAGTACAGCATGACACGCAAATTAGATGCAATGGCTGCGTAAGCGTTCATTTTGGACTGTGGTCCAATCAGTCTCTTGGCACAAGTTGGGATTTAAAGCCTCTTGATGGTGGAATTTTAATTGAGGCGCTTATGGGTCGCCACTTTGTACTTGTCAGTTCTTATGTTCACACCATCGAAACTGAATCGAATTGGGAATTGGGAATTTCCTAATTGTGAGAATTACGAGAAGCAGTCCTCATCTGCCGTTGGCGTGCAAAAGTATCTGTGCCCGACGAAACTGAGTTCCACAACTGCCATTAGTTTGTTGAGAGTGAAATTGCTTTTTGAGCCACCACATGGCGCTCAACATCGAAAGGGTCTGTCGATCTCGGCTGCTCTGTTGCATTTCGCCGATGGTCCCTGCCACACCCCCGATCTCCCTGACAGAGCTCCCTCTGCCGCACACGCGTTGTCCGATTCAGGACCGCCGTCCGGCCGCCAGACCCTGCTGGGCGGATCCTCGTCCGAGCCACAGCTCGTATCCCCCGGCGACGACCGGAGCGAGACGGGCACCTACACGGTAGAGATGGACCGGGCCGATCCGGCTGTGGAGGAGGCCCGTCGCAAGATTGACGAGGTCTTCGGCGTGCCCCTGCGGACTCTGCCGGCCGGTCACGACCAGGCAAGTCCGTTGAGACCCGACCGGCGCACTGATCGGTTCGTTTGTTCGGCTTCCGTGGCCTGCCACACGAGTCGCAACGGACGTGGCACTCTCGGCTGGCAGCTGGTTTGCACTATTGCGCATTTGGCTGTGACCAACCCCGTTATGGTGGTTTGTGACCGTTTGCGACAGTCGCAAAGCTGCCCTAAGCGGCTAAACCTACCATAATATCCCGAGAGTTGGCCCACCTAAAATCAAGTGTGAATCGGATGAAAATGAGAGGTCAACGAACTTTTGGTTTGTCATAACAAAAGGTTGAAAAAAAATGCTAGTTTTAGATTTTGTGATTCTTGGAATATGTGATTGCAGGAAGAAGCAATGAACCAAAGACGACAGTCCTTCCCAGTCAGTAATCTTCGCTTATCTCCCGGCGCGGTTAAACAACACAGTCTCTGCCAAGGTCACCGTTGGGCAGGGCTCTGCCATTACTGGAAGTGGGCATTCATTCGGTGTTTTGTGAAGAATCGGCAAATTGTGCCAAAAATAGGGGGTAGACTGCGCTATCTTTCGGGGGTGGGGCATCTCGTGATGTTACGGTCAAGTCAGTTTTTGTGTCTACACGAAAACCGCGTACAGCTTCGTGGGTGCTTTTTTGTCGTCGAAAAGAACGCAGAAATTGAGTTCTCAAGTGCTAACGCGCTTGGCAAACAGCGGCCATTTTAAACGGTCAAACGAAGCAAGAACCCACCTGACCACGTGCGCCTTTTGCACTTTCGCTGTTGGACCTTGCAAGCGCCGATCCCCCTGTTTTTCACAATTTTCTCCCAATTTTGAGTGGGCGCTTGTATGGCAAGTGTAGAATGCAACACAACTTTTTCCATCTTTCTCTTGCTTCTATTGTAGGTTGTGTATTCTTTTTCTCCATTTAGCGAAGTACAGTAAAACCTCATTGATACATTCTCGGTTGATATGTTTCCCCGCTGTTACGTTAAAAAAACGCCAGTCCCATTTTACTTCCATAGGCATACATGTATTAGTTTCCTGCATGTTACATTTGCTTTCCCTGCTGTTACGTCCAAAAGTGTCGGCATCGCGACGCCTCTGCAAGCAAAGCAGGTTGCACAGCACGCGTGGGCACGCAGACGCCCGTTTCCCCTTTACTCCTTTCCCCCTCTTTTCCGTCTGTGTCTTTTCGCCGGGCTTTGCTGAGCTCTGCCACAGCTTCCCATCTTGCCTGGGTGTGACCTCGGAGCACTGCTCGGACGGGGAGCGAGGCTGGCGAAGCAGCAAACGCTCGTTCTCTATTGACCTCTCTTTCATCTGTCCTTCTCTCTCTCTCTGGCACAAGGTGTACCCGCACGCATGCGGCGCTTCTAGTTTCTGTTCCACTTGATTGCGTGAACCGTGGTGTTTCGGAGTATGTGCGCTTTGCGCCCATTGACGACGGTCTTGGCGTCACAAAAAAGGAAGGCACTCTCTTTTAAAGAGAGGTTACAAGTTTTAAAGAGAAGTGATGTAGATGTCGAGCAAAAAACAAACGATTACGCTGCGCCCACATTTGCGGACGCGATGTTGCGTTCGACACCTTGCGCCACTACGTAAGTGTTCACGACTGCGCAGAGAGAGAGAGAGGGCTGTGGCTCCTGGAGAAGGGGCTTTTACTGCTTAACATTAATTCGAAGCGGCAGGCGGATATTACACGCTTCTGTGAACATGTCCGAGTCCTCAACAGTTCCGTAAGGACGCTTAAAATTAACCATTGTATAAGAGCTGCTTTCTATCTGATGTAGAGCCCCCCTAAGTGCGTTATCAATCGTTACATTTTTCCCGGGTGGTACATTTTTTTGACGCGCTCTGCTGAAAAACGTATCAACGAGGCTCTACTGTAGTTCTTGTGCTGCAGCTTCGATTTAACGAAGTCCTCACAAATCGCGTCTGGGAAGTATCAACAGCCTTCGGTGATAAAACTAAAACTTCCGGGCTGAAGCAAATTTTGCCACTTCCCGCATCTGTGTTTGTCTTTTACTTTTTGTGTTTCTTCTAGTTCCTGCACATCATGTTTTGGCTATGTTTTTTCCGCAATCGAATGCTCCTTTGCTCTCTTGCAGAAGGGGAGGTTGGAGGACGGGCCTGGCGACCAGAGGCCCAGATGCCAGGGTAAAGTTCAGAGCTTGTGTTTCAAGTTTGGTGGTGGTATTGCATGTGAGTATGTGCGCCTGTTTCCCCCCTCTCCCGCTCTGGTTGTTGCCCTTGTCCCGTCTGCTTGCCTGAGGGCCGCTTTGACTGAACGGCTGCAGAGAGGGACAGCTACTTAGCTCGTATAGAGTGCGACAGGAGTCGTGGCGAGATTGTAGTTAAATTGGGTGATTGGGGCTGTGTCCACACTCCGCAGTAAAGTAGAAAGTTCATACTGTCTTTTGGAATTTCAGGGTAATCGTCACTCTGACCATACTCCGCAGCCTTGAGCTACTCTGTACCGTGACCGGCCATACCGTTTAGTCAAACATTTGAGTGTTTGAGACTTTGGGCTCATCGAGCTGTAAAATGGATTTGGTTTGGATCAGAGTTTTTAGAGCACAGCTCTTAGGCACCTGTTTTTAGGTTGAGCAGTGCCGCTGTCAAAGTAACCGCGCATTGCATTATAGGGAATTTAGCTGAAAAATTTCCCACTAACTTTAGTCGGGAAACTTGACCCGCTAAATTTTGCTGGGAAATTTTCCCTCTAAATATAGCGGAAAAATTTTCCAGCAAAATTTAGCGAGAAAATATCCCCGTTAAATTTAGCAGGAAAGTTTTTTAAATCTCCCCGCTAAATTTTCGCCAAATTTCCCACTAAACTTGGGGGGAACATTTTCACTAAATTTCCCGAAAAATTGAGCGGTGAATATTTCCCCGCTAAATTTAACGGGAATATTTCACGCTAAATTTTGCAAAGAATTTTTTGGCTAAATTTAGCAAAAATTTCCCTTTAAATGGGCGGGCAGCAGGCGTGGAGGAGGGGAGAGTACAGAGAAAGAGGAGGGGCATATCCTCCCCTCCGTACTCTCCCTTCCTCCTCCTCCTCAAGAGCTGCGCTCTAATTCGGCATTACAGGGGATTGTAAAGGTCTTTAATTTTTTGCGACCTTTCTGCCGGCTTTACCAGTGTAGAATGGGCTGCAGTGATTTTATGTTGGCGATCAACACGTCAACATTTGGGAGGTTTTACATGACATGGCATACATTTTTACGCAATGATGACCCCGGCGTAGTTTGTAGTCGAGCTTAGGGGCACGACTTACAGTAAAATTCGTGACCAGCTTTGCAGCAAAAAATTTTATGATTTCTCACGGTTGTTTTTGCTCATATTTTGTTTGAAAGCTTGTCATAAAGTCTCAAAATTGGTACTTTTACTTCGATTCAACTCGAGGTATGTTATGACTTTTTGAGGCTTTCAAAAGCATACAATTTGTTCGCACTGTGTAAGGAAGGTCGAACCAATTGTTTGTTGGCCCTTTGAGACAACGAAAGAGTTTGTATTTAGGCACTCATGCATACGGGGAGAGTTTGTGCACAAGTACAAGTAGACTAAGGGTTGCGATAAGGCTGGCTCTGCAGCATTCCCTCTACTCCAGCTCCCTTTCCCCCGCATGGGAGAGCTCTTGCATTTAAATCAAGGTAGGAAAAAGTTCTCGTGACACAGTTTATCTTCTTTTTCTTCCTGCTTGCATCCGGAATGCATTTTTGCCTGCCTCGGCCCCGCCAAACGTTACAGAACCTTTATCCTTTCGTCCAGCATCCGCCCGTTTAATACCATAAAGCTTTATGGCTTATGCCTGAACATAATGCACCCTGCATTGATCCTTGAAAAAAATATCTTTTTGTGCTCGACTTCTCTTTTTTTTTTGTACATTATATATCCCATTGTCATTAACCTGCTTGCCAAGTGTGGGGCATTTCGTATAGTGGTTTTGCCTTTCCAACTGCTGGTAGTTGTATGGACGGATGTCTGGTGGGATGCGTAACCTTCCACGGAGGTACATGTACTATACCTCGAGCTGGGGCATCAATGAAACTATGCTCGGAACAAGTTTTCTTGGCAATGCAGTCAAAGGTAGGGGCACGCGTGCCCTCTCTCCTTTTGAGTGCCGAATAGAGCTGCGTGCGCGCTTTCCTGTTCTCCTCGAAAATGCCGAGAAAGGTTGTCCCCAGTACAGTCTATATTTTTTGTCGTCATGTTGTGGAGGCAACTACTCTATTCGTAAAATTGTGAAAACTGGCCACTCATTTCAAAAAAGAAAAAGAGATATATATATAGATACCAACGCGAACAATCGAGGTGTTTGTTAACTGTGGCAATATATATGCTCATTGATTACAGCTACTTAAGCATAAAAAGAATTTACCAAAATTGTATTTCTCAATGAATTAACTGAATAATTACTAGAAAATGGGCATGACCTTTTTAGTAACTTTATTGGTTGACACAATTATTGTAACCTGACATTTCTCAGTGTGAAATTACTCAAATGAAATCGATTAGAAGTGTTCCATCTGTTCACCACGTGCACCTCTCGAGTCCAGTTGTGGCTTGAAAACGACAAGGACGTTCACATCTTTTCTCCGGTTCAGGTGGGCGACCCGAACGCGGTACTCCGGAAGAATTCGCTGACACTGTAGTCACTGACGGGACAAAGCTGGCGGGGGGAGGCCTTTCAATTGTCCCACCTCCAGCGCGAGCTTTCTAGCTTCGAGCTTGCAGCCATAGCACCACAGAAAGCAGTGGACACGTGCCGGAGGTTGGATGTCCCAAATGGACACCCCACGCTCCTTGCTTCGTCTGCAACTACGGTCTTGTCCAGGGGCACCAAACATATGCCACGCTTGGAGTCTCGATGTTCCGTTCCCACATCGTCTCGCCGCCGCCGCCATGCTTTGCTGCTTGGCGCCAGAGCGGGCGCGGTGTTAGCAACACTTGCCCTTTAAAAAAACGCAACTTCTCGAGCTTTAGGCACGGCGTCTGGGAGCTCGGGCGATGTTGCTTTGCCCCGTCATGAACTATCCTAACGGGGAATGCATTTTGTGCCCCGTTTTCTATAAAAAGATAGTTCTGGAGGAGCGGCGTACTGGGTGTGCTACGCACTTTGAGGTTAGGCATAAAGTTTGCACGGGAAAGTTCGAGCCTCGCATCATTTCCACTCTTCTTTGTCCCTGTTGTTTTTGGTGCTTTTATATATTCGACTATGAACTAACTTGCCCAACTTTCCACCTTGTCAAAGTTCAATCCTTGGCGGGGCTCGAACCCGGGTCCGTGCGGCTGTAGTTGGATACCGTGTATACTCTGAGCCGTTAGCGTAGCTCGTCTTTAAGGGCAAGTTCTTTCGTTTTAATGCGGGCGTGCTGGCGAAAGCGTCTGGTTTTGGATGCAAATAATAACATATAAGAATAAATAAAATAATTTAAAATATATAAATAAATATGAAATAACCAAAACATTGAAAATAAATGTCAATAGGTAAATAACAAAAATGACACAATGAAAGAAAATGAATGAAAAATAAATAAATGTAATAGATGAAAAAAAAAAAAGGAAAGAAATAATAAAAAAGTGGATAACAAAAAGATTGTAAAATCTAGCACCATTCCGGAGCGCAGAGAGGGCCAAAGGATCGTTTGCTCCAAGGTGCGGCTTGTCGAGCGGCTGTAGTTTCGACCCGCGTTCTCGGTGGCCGTCGGCGTTGACCTTGGTCTCCCGTCGCCAGGCGGGTCGGTGGACCTGGGCCGCCCGAAACGTCGTCTGCCAGCGCCTCCGTCCGAACGTCCCCCGCCGGAAGCGTTCGCCCCCGCGCCCGGAAGCGACGCGAGGAAGCCGACCAACCCCTCCGTCCCGTCTTCGGCTGTGGCTGCGACCGGCGCCGCGGCCAGGAAGCGGCTGGGGTCGTCCAGCGGCCGGCCGAGCCCTCCGTGCTCGCCGCCGAGGACGCATCGGACGGTCGTGACGACGAGACCTGCTTCCGCGAGAAACAGCCTTTCGTCGTCCACGGTGAGTGGATTGCACGTTGCGAAGGACGTGTTTGCCTAAACATTTTGGAGAAGATCGGCTGGTCTGCTGAGCTTGCTAGGAAGCTAAAAACATAAATCTTAAAAATAAATATTTTTTTTTTTTTTGTGTTTGAGGTTGGTTTACGTATCTTTTTAACCTGGTTGTAAATTCCTCCCTGGTTTTTCTCTTCTCCCCCTCTCTCTACTTGTATATTGCGAAATACCGAGGGCGCGCACGTGTCAGAACGGCCACCCACCTGGTGCTTTTGGAACGTTTGAAAACAAAGCCAAGGACTGATATTGAGCGTCCACTTCAGGCTTCCGAGTCCACGTAGCAGCTAATCGAGATCGGTGGCTTCTCCGCGTGCCTCATTGAAAAGTGGTGAAGCCTGCCCTATCGCCTGCATCTTCTGCATTTTTTCACTTGTGTCTAATAAGCACCCATCTCCTTCGCTTTCGAATGCGTTCAACGAGTGCAGTTGGCACAAAGGCAGCTAGCTTTAGGTTTATCCACTAATCATTTGAACCGGAGCTCAGCGTTCTGACGTCCCTGCGTGCTCTCATCTCTACCTTTTCCCCAGTTTCTTGGTGCATACATTTATTTAAAAAAGAATGCTGTTGTATGATGACTTTTTAAATGAAAAAAGTCTCTATCTGGAGGTCTAAGGGGGGGGGGGAGGAAGGAAGGGCAGTCATTCCCCCCCTCCCCCGTAAAGAAACACTGACACTCCCCAATATTTTTTTTTAATTTTTTTGCTGGGTGGTTTAATATGGTGTCCGAAGGCTACCCAATCAATAATTTGCTACAGCTTCACGTGTATTTTTAATAAAGTAAGAAAAAGATGCCACTGCTCGAAACCGAAAATGAACTGGTGAAGAAGAAGAAATGTAGAGGAGGAGAGAGTTGGGGCCGTATATCACGTGGCTACACTTGACTGCATTTTTTTCCTTAGTTCTGTCGGTTGTGCGATGCAGACGAAAAACACACACGTCGCACAAGAAAGTTGAGCATTTCGTGCTTGGCATTTGTGCGTTTTTTAAGCTCTTACCGGTTTGTGTTCGTAAGACGAGCGATGTCTTCAGCCAGGAGAAGGGGCAACGATCGGGCAACATCTTTGTGCGCTTCAGCTTGGTGGCCGGGACGTGTCTTACGGAATAAATCCTAATTGTTTTGATTGGTAAACAATTTCTCTTTAAAAGCTAGACAAATTCGCCGGTACCGCGAAAAACAGTTTTGAAGTAAAGATAACACGCCCGTCGTCCACTGTCATCACTTGGTCCACTTCAATCAGCCATCCAACCTGCAATGTGACGCCATATGTTGAGAATTACGCAGAAAATGCACAGAGTGCTTCCAGTTCTCTGTGCAACTTTTCTTTGAAAGCAACATATTTGCAGTTTTTAAAAAGCCACAAAAAATGGGTATCATATTTTGTCTTTCTATTTTTAATACCGAGTGTGTGCTTTTGAGTACCCATGACTTTGAATATATTTGGTGTGTGCGTCTGAACCATAGAGAACAGCACATGACCATGGAGAAGAAAGTGAGCGTCACTCAAACCGGCCAGCTCTCTATCGGTGGTTTTGGGGTGGAGAGAAGACTAATTTTGAGCTGCAAATTGTGTTCTAGGTAGTTGGGCTCTCGTGTGTCATGTACGTATAGATGCCCGCTTAGGCAACCAAACCTTTTATTCAATGAACACAAGTTTTCATTCATTGATTCATTCCACAATGAAAGTGACTTCTTGTTTTCTCTTCCCTCCTTGTACGCTCCAACCCGTCAAGACGGCAGCAACGAACATGTCCCAGTCGGTGGGGCCCCGCATCGGCTGCGGCGGCAACCGGACGACGCAGCCTCAACGCAAGCCGTGGGGGCTGAGCGGCTCGGAGGCGGACATAGCCGCGGCCGCGGCCGACCCCGTGGGCGCGGAGGAGACGGCCAGTGTGGTCTCTGACACGAGCACGGAGCCGTCATCGCACAGCTCGGGCTCGCGGGGCGGACCGACGATGAAGCTGAACCGCGCCTTTGCCCTGAGGCGAGCGCGGCTGGGACTTCCCGACATCGGAGGGCTACCTCCGACGGCGGCGTCGGGAGGGTCCAAAAAGAGCCTCCATGGGAGCAACCCCAGCCTCTCAAGGCAGGACGGCGGAAGGTTCAGCCTCCGGTTGCCCCGCGGGACGCGGGCCACGGACGTGGCGCTTGGCCGTGCGGAGCTGCTCCGGGGAAAGGTGAGGGGGGCAAGTGGGATTAGGGCAGGTTGTAAGCGGAGACATTGGTGGTTGTGGGAAAAAGAACATGGAAGAAAACGATGAAAGAGTGGAGAAAGAAATGGAAAGAATAGGTTAGGCGTGTTTGTATTGGCGCAACGAGTTGAAGCCGTTTGTTTGCCTGTAGACTTTTGTTTTTTAGGCATTGCACGACTCCGGCGTTTCTCTTTAAAATAAAGCTAGGAGAAACACTAGGTACGCGCCTTACAAGTGATGTTTTCCTGCTTCTCTGTGTATATTGAAGTCTCGCCAGCGATCTGGACCCGCGGGGTCACCAATGTTTGCGTCTATGCCCACCGTTACAGAGTGGCCGCAATGCGGGGGACCCTTTCCTCTAGATTTTTATGTGCACTGTGTGGCGCGGATGTGGGCCCATACAGTGCACATATGATGCGTTTCATGGTGTTTAGCTCCACTACAGCACATAAACCCCAAAAAGACGCCCCGATTTAAAGAGAGAAAAAAAGAAAGAAGAAATCCTAAAATAGTGAAACCCTTTTTATGAGTTATCCAGCATAACAGAAAGAATTTAAATTCCTAGATCTAGAGCTACCGTGACCATTTGTGTTGTGCCGAAGAAATTAATTCAGTGAAAACTGAGGATCCTTTCTTTAAAAAATGTGCCTACAAGGCCTGCATATGGGACTTCCATTTCATGTAATTTCATAAATGCACACTTCCTGAATCTAGCATAATTATAAAATATGTGGTTTGTGACTTAGATCCTGAAAAAAGTTGTTTGAAGGGGGGGAGACTCAAACCTTCAAAATCGAAAAAGCGCTAAAAAATTTACTTTTGGAGAAACACTTTTTTGGGTTGTATATTCCATAAACTAGCTCCTCTGTAATTATTTGCACCTAATTGACCGAGATAATATGATTAAAAATATATTTAAGAGGTTTCGGCGGCTTTACATCGCGCTCAAGCCGGAAAATTGAGCTACTTTTGGCAAATGCCGCTTGCCATCTTGGTTTTGTTTTGAAGTGGAGATATTTTTCTTTTTTCGTGGTCACTCGCAATGTGAGGAATGAAGTATGAAAAGGTTTGTGCATTTGACATACAGAAGTGGTCCATGCAAGTTTTTCGCTTGGCAACCATCGGAAAGAGCATCTGCAGGCCACCAAAGCTCATTGCGTTGTTACTTCCAGTCGTGATTCTTCTATGCCATCGACACCAAGCAAAGACAGAAAAGCAGAACGAAAAGAAAGTGCACAAGGACACTTTCAGCTACTCCACGGGGCAAAGCCGTCTCACGTGGCGCAATCCTGCTCACAGTTCTCACGATTTTCGGTTGCGACGTTGCTCGCTGGTGAGAAAACAAATAAATAATAGCCGTGGATGGTGGCTTATGTACATGCGTGCTGTGTCCACAGGCTTTTTTGCCGCGCAAGAATGAAAATCTTAAGCAGAATTGCGCCACATGAAACGGGCTCGATGCTGAAAATATCTTTGCAGCAATCGACTACCATCACCTGAAAATGGATTTTTTTCGATGGCATTGGCACTTGTCCCACGATATCTCGGAAACTTTAATGGATTCACATGCAGTTTTTTTTTATTCTGTTCCTAAATAGTAGTGCATGAAAATATCCGCCAAACCGGTTATCCGGTTAAACCGGAGGCGAGCGAATCCGGTTACCAAAGCCGGTTATCCGGTTAACCGGATTTTCGAATTCGAATATCCGGTTTGGCAAACCGGTTGTTCGGTTAATCGGTTATTCAGTTTTATTTCATGCATCCTGATGACCAGCAGATAAAACAGCAATTCGCGCCCTGTATTTACAGTAAATAAAAACTATGCAGATAGATTTTTTTTAAGGCAATAGCCTTCTTTAGGTACCCCCCCCCCCCCCCCCCCCCTCGATTTCGCGGACCTTTTTTGGCCCGAAGTTTCCCCGCTAAATTAAGACGAAAAATTGATGTCACATGACCTAAATACTAATTCACTTTCCCCGCTAAATTTGACGGGGAAATTGATGCAACGTGACCTGACGTCACGGGACCTACAAACCAATTAAGTTTCCCCGCTAAATTTAGCGGAAAAATTGGCGTCACATGACCTAAGTACTAATTCAGTTTCCCCGCTAAATTTAGCGGGAAATTAGATGCAACGTGACCTGACGTCACAGGACCTACATACCAATTCAGTTTCCCCGCTAAATTTAGCGGAAGAATTGACGTCACATGACTTAAGCATTAATTCAGTGTCCCCGCTAAATTTAGCGGGAAATTTGATGCAGCGTGACCTGACATCGCGGGACCTACAGACAAATTCAGTTTCCCCGCTAAATTAGCAGAAAAATTGACGTCGCATGACCTGAATAGTAATTCAGCTTCCCGCTGAATTTCGCGCGAAATTTGATGCAACGTGGCCTGACGTAACGGGATTTACAAACCAATTCAGTTTCCCCACTAAATTTGCCGCAAAAATTGACGTCACATGACCTGAATACTAATTCAGCTTCCCCGCTAAATTTAGCGCGAAATTTGATGCAACGTGAACTGACGTCACGGAATTTACAAACCAATTCAGTTTCCCCGCTAAATTTTGCGGAAAAATTGGCATTACACGACCTAAGTACTAATTCAGTTTCCCCGCTAAATTTAGCTGAAAATTTGATGCAACGTGACCTGATGTCATGATATCTACACACCAATTCAGTTTCCTCGCTAAATTTAGCGGAAAAACTTTTGTCATACGACCTAAGCACTAATTCAGTTTCCCCGCTAAATTTAGCTGGAAATTTGATGCAACGTGACCTGACGTCACGGGATCTACAAACCAATTCAGTTTCTCCGTAAAATTTAGCGGAAAAATTGACGTCACATGATCTATAGTACTTATTCAGTTTCCCTGCTAAATTTGGCGGGAAATTTGATGCAACGTGACCTGACGTAACGGGATCTACACACCAATTCAGTTTCCCCGTTAAATTTAGCGGAAGAACTTACGTCACACGACCTAAGCACTGATTCAGTTTTCCCGCTAAATTTAGCTGAAAATTTTATGCAACGTGACCTGACGCCACGGGACCTACCAACCAATACAGTTCCTCCGCTAAATTTAGCGGAAAAATTGACGTCACATGACCTAAGCACTTATTCAGCTTCCCCGCTAAATTTAGCGCGAAATCTAAATAGCCTGTAGGTCCCACAACGTCAGGTCACAGACAACAATTTTCCCATTAAATTTAGCGGAAAACTGAATTCATGCATAGGTCACGCGATGTCAATTTTTCCGAAAAATTTAGCTGGGAACCTGGATTTCTCTGAAGGTCACGTGACTTCATGTCATGTGACATCAATTTTCCAACCAAATTTAGCGGGGCAACGGAATTAATGCATAGGTCACGCGATGTCAATTTTTCCGATAAATTTAGCTGGGAACCTGGATTTCTCTGAAGGTCACGTGACTTCATGTCATGTGACATCAATTTTCCCGCCAAGTTTAGCGGGGAAACGGAATTAATGCATAGGTAACGCGATGTCAGTTTTTTCGATAAATTTAGCTGGGAACCTGGATTTCTCTGAAGGTCACGTGACTTCATGTCATGTGACATCAATTTTCCCGCCAAGTTTAGCGGGGAAACGGAATTAATGCATAGGTAACGCGATGTCAGTTTTTTCGATAAATTTAGCTGGGAACCTGGATTTCTCTGAAGGTCACGTGACTTCATGTCATGTGACATCAATTTTCCCGCCAAGTTTAGCGGGGAAACGGAATTAATGCATAGGTAACGCGATGTCAGTTTTTTCGATAAATTTAGCTGGGAACCTGGATTTCTCTGAAGGTCACGGGACTTCATGTCATGTGACATCAATTTTCCAACCAAATTTAGCGGGGCAACGGAATTAATGCATAGGTCACGCGATGTCAATTTTTCCGATAAATTTAGCTGGGAACCTGGATTTCTCTGAAGGTCACGTGACTTCATGTCATGTGACATCAATTTTCCAACCAAATTTAGCGGGGCAACGGAATTAATGCATAGGTCACGCGATGTCAATTTTTCCGATAAATTTAGCTGGGAACCTGGATTTCTCTGAAGGTCACGTGACTTCATGTCACGTGACATCAATTTTCCCGCCAAGTTTAGCGGGAAACGGAATTAATATAGGTCACGCGATGTCAGTTTTTCCGATAAATTTAGCTGGGAACCTGGATTTCTCTGAAGGTCACGTGACTTCATGTCATGTGACATCAATTTTCCCGCCAAGTTTAGCGGGGAAACGGAATTAATGCATAGGTAACGCGATGTCAGTTTTTTCGATAAATTTAGCTGGGAACCTGGATTTCTCTGAAGGTCACGTGACTTCATGTCATGTGACATCAATTTTCCAACCAAATTTAGCGGGGCAACGGAATTAATGCATAGGTCACGCGATGTCAATTTTTCCGATAAATTTAGCTGGGAACCTGGATTTCTCTGAAGGTCACGTGACTTCATGTCACGTGACATTAATTTTCCCTCCAAATTTAGCGGGGAAACGGAATTAATGCATAGGTCACGCGATGTCAGTTTTTCCGATAAATTTAGCTGGGAACCTGGATTTCTCTGAAGGTCACGTGACTTCATGTCATGTGACATCAATTTTCCCGCCAAGTTTAGCGGGGAAACGGAATTAATGCATAGGTCACGCGATGTCAGTCTTTCCGATAAATTTACCTGGGAATCTGGATTTCTCTGAAGGTCACGTGACTTCATGTCATGTGACATCAATTTTCCCGCCAAGTTTAGCGGGGAAACGGAATTAATGCATAGGTCACGCGATGTCAGTTTTTCCGATAAATTTAGCTGGGAACCTGGATTTCTCTGAAGGTCACGTGACTTCATGTCATGTGACATCGATTTTCCCGCCAAGTTTAGCGGGGAAACGGAATTAATGCATAGGTCATGCGATGTCAGTTTTTCCGATAAATTTAGCTGGGAACCTGGATTTCTCTGAAGGTCACGTGACTTCATGTCATGTGACATCAATTTTCCCACCAAATTTAGCGGGGAAACGGAATTAAAACATAGGTCACGTGCTGTAAATTTTTCCGAAAAATTTAGCTGCCAACCTGGATTTCTCTGAAGGTCACGTGACTTCTTGTCATGTGACATCAATTTTCTCGCCAAATTTAGCGGGGAAACGGAATTAATGCATAGGTAACGCGATGCCAATTTTTCCGATAAATTTAGCTGGGAACCTGGATTTCTCTGAAGGTCACGTGACTTCGTGTCATGTGACATCAATTATCCCACCAAATTTAGTGGGGAAACAGAATTAGTGGAAAGGTCACGGGACGTCAATTTTTCCGCTAATTTTAGCGGTGGACCTGAATTTTCTGTGGGTCCGCGACGTCAGGTCACGTGACATTAAATTTTCTGCCATATTTAGCGGCGAAACTGAATTTGCGCATATGAAACGTGATGTAAATTTTTCTGCTAAATTTAGCGAGGAAGCTGAATTGATGCATAGGTCACTTGACGTAAAACTTTCCGCTAAATTTAGTGGGGAACCTGAATTCGTACGTACGTCGTGATGTCAGGTCACATACATTAAGTTTCACATCAAACTTAGCGGGGAAGCTTTATTTTTGTTTACGCTCACGCGATTGCGAAATCGGGGGACGGGCCACCAAGAGCTGCGGCCGGTGTAAACGTTTTTTTCTTTTTCCACCGGAGATGGAGATCAACTTTTGAGTACTGACATGAGAACAACCAGGCTGTCCAAAATGCAACACTTATTTTCTCCTTTTAGTCCCGTTGATTGTTAAAACATGAGGACATAACAGGGAAACCCTGAATTCGTAAAGCTTATGGGTTATATATTTAATGACGGAACAATCTCGATTCCAATACTGAATATTGAATAATCGAATATTCGGATATTTACGAAACCGAATAACTGAGCAGCTTATTCGGTTATTCGAATATCCGGTTATCCGGTTTTCAACTTCGAATAGTTCGTTAATTCGAATAACCGGATAACCGGTTATCTTCAAAACCGGTTTCTACTGCAGGCACTACTAAATAGTTTTGTAAGGGTATGACAAACTTTCTTTTTAAAGATTTTGTGTTCAAAAATTTTTAATGCACAAATTAAGTTTGTGGGCTGAGGATATGACCAACAACATAAAATTCAATGTTGTGCTAAACCTTTTTTGCAAAGAAACAAATGAAAAGGGCTTTGTCATGCCCTGGAATGCCTATCGAAGATTCGTCATAACAAAGTTCACATTCCCCCAATGTTTCGCAAATTCTCCAGGCCTGGGATAAATGAAGCACGCGAATCATTCTGATAAAATTTTTTTAACTTGAGAATTAATAGGCAGAGCTATATGAAACTTTGCAGCTACTCCTATAAATGTGCTGTGAATGTACCCTGAAAATTTCATACCAATAGCACTAGGAATAAAAAAGTAAGTTTCATGCCCACTGTTTCCTTAAACAATGTTCCAGAATTTTTTATGCTCTAAGATGCGTGTCTCCTCATAATCCTAACAAAAGGATTATTTCTTTCTAATGAATAATCCGTTCAGCGGAACTCTCGAAGGTAGCCAAACAAAAAAACGGTCGGTGCAGATAACTTCCAGTTCACAGCACCCAACACCTGCGAAAACCCGGAGCTTGGCGTCTCGAAGAATCCCTCGTCTAAACCTGCCTTTCAATTCCCGACGCAGTCACGCGGCATGCACCAGCGCAACGACAGCGACCCCGGTGCGGCGTTCCGGTCGCAGCAGTTCTCCGCGTCGGACGGAGAGCGCCAGTCGCCACGGCCCTCCCGGCGGGGCGGTCAGCGCACCGGTGCCTCGTCTTGCATTTCGGACGGCGATGACGACGGGCTCCGGACCGGTTCGCCGGTCCTCTTCAACCGCTCGGCGTCGTTCGGGGCGCCCAACGACCCCACGCCGAGTGTGCCGGAAAGGAGGAAAAGCCGGGGCACCGCCTTTAGTCGGGGGGAAACCTTCCTCAAGGGCGCCCGAGAGGGCAGCGACGGCGGGGCGCTGGGAGGGACGTTTGTGCGGAGCTCCCGCGGCAAGGTGGAGAGGCAATCCGGGGACGGAGAGGTGGGTCTACCAACGTTGCTGTTCGCCTTGTGGCGTCCGTCTGAAATATCTGAACTTCCTACTTTGCCTAAAGACAATGGATACGGAACGTGTGTGGTGCTTGTGCCTGTCTGTTTTCATTTTGTTTGGATCGGTTTCACTTGTTTTGGCCTTTTGCCTTTAGGGGTAATTTGTTAGGGATACGGACGTTTGTCTGTGACTGACAGATAACGAGCTAACGGAGGTGCTCTTCATCTTCCAAGTCTCGTGGCGTGATCTCTCTGTCATTGGTGACTACGGGCCATGTGGTTGGTTCAACTATGGGTCACGTGGTACCACGAAAAATGAGTGTCTTTGTGATATGTCACATGACCATGCGAAATGACATTATGTGACACTAGAGCATTACATTGCATGACGTCATGTATCTATAGCTTATGCAAACATGCAACATATAAAGGTTATGGGTCGCATGCCCTCTTGCAATTGCCCGATTCTGTGAGATCATGTGACCCTTCCTGAAATTAGGGTGACATTTTTGGGGGCAATACGAGTACACAACTGCAACAACACATCTGAACCACTCTACTGATGCAATGATAAAGCATTGGAATATGAAGGAAGGGACAAGCAGTTCTGTGTAGAAACACCTGTTGGTGTTATAGTGTTTCCGTAACATATCTTCGCGACGCCGCAAGCTCGTAAATCGGCCTCAAAACACGTCCTTCGTCAGAACCACTGGTCAGGTTCGGCGGGTCAGTTTCTGAGTGGGCCGGGGGCTGGTCGTGCAGAGCAAGACGCCGACGGAGAACGGGATCAAGACCCCCTCGACCACAACGCCAGGCAGGAGAGAGCTGTCGGCCCTGGATAGCCTGGTCATCTCTGCCATCCACCAACTGTCCGGGAAGCTTCGCACCAGTGCCCGCACCCTCATCGAGAGGGAGAGGTGGGTGTGGCCGACGACGGTTTGCTCAGCAAACTCAACAGACATGGAAACTTTTATCAACTTTCGTAGGAAAGGAAATTGGCACATGTTAATAAAACAAAAAAACTCCATAGTTTTTTTTTACATACTGGAAACGACTTAATTTTTGCGAATCGCCTACAATTTGCGGAAAAAAGGTCCCACAAACAATTCCTGTAAAATGTAAACAGATTGCAATTTGTATTGAGATACCACTGCGTCGCAAAAATTAGGACCTTCGAATTATTCCAAAACTTCAGCTTTTACCTAAATCGGGAAATATTGAGCCCGCGAAAAATAGGTCATTTACAGTATATATATTTTCATCATTTTTGGCAGTAAAACAAAACGTTATATATTAGTCTGCCATGGCCGCACATTCCTTCTACTTAACCTCAGTGTCTTTGCGCGTTTTCTCTTTTCCCCCGCCACAAAAACCCTCGGCTGAAACGGCTCCTCGAATTCACTGGGCGTCTGCCCCCTCCTCGTCGCCAGGTTCAAGTACCCGGAAAACAGCGACGTGCGGCTGATGATCGAGGAGGTCCTTCCGCGCGTCGTGGAGCGGAGGCCGGGCGATTCGCCCACCGAGGGCAACCTGACCAAGGAGCTGTCGACCATCCTCAAGAACCTCAAGAGGATCGAACAGAGTCTCGAAGGTCCGCACTTGAGTGTTGCCGCTCTTACTAGAAAGCTACGCCCAAAGCTCGTTCGACCGTGCCTCGGTCGCGTTGGCAACTGTCTTGTCCCGAGCAGTTGTAAGGTAGTCGGTCATGCTCAAATGCAACTGTCTGAACGATCCTTAACTGCTGTAAGTGGGGGAAAGTTTGTGGGCTCCTCGTGAACGTTTTTTCAGAGGCGCAGACGGAACGCCGCTTTGGAAGATTTCGCGAGGGGATGAGGTCCCGATCGGGGTGCTAGTCAATGGACCCCGTGAACGGGCAATGTGTCCGCATGATAAGTTTTAACTTTGATCGCGTTTGATTTGCAAGCTTCATAAAATATGAGTAAATTACGTAGGTTGTACCAGTTTGCAAGATTTTGGAAACATGTCGATGAAACAACCTCGTAATAATGATGGCAAAAGAAAAAAAGGGAGAGATGGTGCAAAATGTTTGACGTGCTTTTGTCCTGTTTTTTTTTTCTTTGTTCCGGACGACAGTGCTAAATTCCTTAGGCCCCGGGGAAAGCGTGGCGGAGAAGACTGTCGAGACAAAGACAACGCCGCAGAAGCCGAGGGGAAGCTTCTTCTACGTGGACGTCTAGGGAACTCCTGCCGCTGCCAAAAACGACGAAAAAGGGGACGTTTTCAACCCTGGGGCGATGTCGAACGGCATAATCGCTTGTGCATAGCGTGCTAAACACAACTATTTCACTTTTTTTTTTGTCAAATTAAGATGTGCATATTTAAATAGCCTCTATTTGTTTGCATTCTTGTATAGTTACTGCGCTTCAGTTTTTTTAGGGGGGTGCAAATAACGGTTCGAATAGAGTGCTAGTGTTGCATCGTTCACAACTTCTTACAGTGCAAGGACAAGCCATGACAACAAATTCTCTTAAAAACGCATCAATCTTTGAAAAAAAAAAAAATTGCTATGTTTTTTTTTAAATGCCTTCATGGAAATGGATTGTAACAAAATTATATTCCCCACAAAAATATTTAAAAAAATTTATATTTAGAGAGATTGACCTTGGAATAGAAGCATGTTTTAAAATTGCCTCAGCTCAAAATGTGTCTCGCGTCATAAATACCGTGCTATTTTTTGTGTTATCATTAGAAAAAGTTAATTTTGTATGCATCTTTCCTACTCAAGCACTAGAAGAAAAAAATTTTTTTTGAGAGTTCAGTGTTTTTTACACATTGACACCAAAAATGACGCTGCATTTTTCAGTTCTAGCCGTTATTTGCACAACCTTAGTTATTTTTTACTTTTTTTTTTTAAGGACTGCAATATTCAAGTTGCTTTCTATTTTCGTGTAGAGGAAAATTATTGTCGCTTGTATATTAGGTTTTTATTTTCGATTGTGTCTCATCTCTACCTGCTCAATGTGAAGACTACTTGTGAACTTGAGTTGTCATGGATTGTGAAAAAGTTGCCAGAGTTTGTGATCTTGAGCATCTTTTCTTTTTTCTTTTGGTATGTTCGGCTTTCATTCCTTTCTACGCTTCCTTTCGAGGTAATTTAATTTTTCCACTAAGTTGGCAGTGCGAGCTTTTCCCACATCTTTATGGGGTCTTTTTGTTTTTCTGGAGCATGTCTGCCCTGCCAAGAGTTGAAAAACAAAAACTGGCTTGACGTCTACCGAGCCATGCCTTGTATATATATATACCTGTATAAAGCAAATGCTGTTTTTGTGATATATAAATGAACCCAGCAGGTCTTGTTGAGAATTTGGTGCGCTGTGCGTGTTACAGCAGCTTATCCGACCAAAAATACTATGAACGTGGCTGCCGCCGACAGAGGGAGCTTGAAACCAACTAAATTGCAGCGCATACCTCATGCCTTTAGGGTAAAGTGATTTATAGATTTTGTTTTCAAAGGATTATTGGAGCAAATTGTGCAATTAAGATCTATTGACCCGTCTCATGTGCGCGCTTCATTGAAGAGAGTACATGGACGCTGCATTTTGAAAACGCTATATAAAAAGGACGTCTTCCACTTACTGATTTTGTGTGGTGATCATTATGAACAAGTTATCAGAGATGGTATTGCTGCTTGGGAGTGCAACTGTGGCAAAGGGAATTGTGGAATCTGACATAGACCCCTTTCGAAAGTCGTGTGCGAATTGTTAGAATGTCGGAACTCCTACTGCACAGCCACCAGTGCAAAATGTGCAAGTCATCATATAAGATGGCTATAGAATGGATTTAGTAGCATTTTCTAACTATACTCTGTTTCACATAATGTCCGGCCGCAGCAGATGTTATGAGCCATCGGAGCCCCTCAGAGGGGTTGCAGCGACATGCGGAGAGCATAGTATGGCATCCCACATTCACTGCACTGGATAGGCTGGGATGGCTCGTAACGTCTGCCTCAGCCAGACTTAATGAAACGGAGCATAGCCGTTACTTTCCAATCCAACCAAGGACCACTAGTGCACTGTGTTGTTGCAGCTTTGGTCTGTCATTGTGCAGGGTTTCCACAGCTTCCGACAGAGGGCAGACTTTCAAAGGGTCTATAGCAAAATCTGTGTGCCGAAATTTTGAAAATGAAACCACATTATTTTGAGTTCAAACCGCTCACAGAATGGCTTTGTTGCCATTGGAAGTATGGAATTGCAAAGTAAATATGGGTAAACCCACTGTTCCAGAAAGTGAAATTTGTTTGTGAATTTTTTTCTGAGTTACACTGAGAATGCAATCGTTATATAGCCGTGCACTGTACTGCATACTTCTCACCAATACAAGTTGAGCAAATTGAACAATGCAATTTGTATGGAGCATGCTGGTGTGGCACATGGTTGTAGTTTTCACCTCAAGAACCACTGCAAAAGACATTCAGCACACCTCGGAGTGTTACTAATCTCCCCATTACGTGGGATGCACATGCATTTCGTCTTGTTGAAACATGCATCAGTAGAATGCAAAAAAAACGTTTAGCTTGCGGACTACCAAATATAGATGTTTGCAGGTATGGGGGCCTCTGGGTGCCGCCATCTTGTTACTGGTGTGGTTAGATCATCCGATAGTAGAGCACTGCTGAGGTGTACCATATTTTTCTATGTATAAGAGGCACTTTTTTTTTCAAAATTTTCGGTGGTGCGTCTTACACAATGGTGCGTCTTATATGTATATCTTTTTCCTTTTTAGCAAACTCTGAAGAAACTCCTGTTAATGCTGATTATTCTTTTTTTAACTATTATGACAACTCAATGCAAATGATGCATCATAAATGCAAGTCAACCTCCCAAAACTAGAGTTCCATAACAAAAAAGAACCCTTCATAAGTGTTCTTAGAGACTAGTGCTCAGAGTCGTTAATCGGTAAGTACAGCATTTCACGATATTTGCGCAACTATACGTGAAGTTCCTTCGCGGCAAGTGCGGAAATATAGGTACTTCTTATACACAGGTGCATCTTGTATACTAATTTTTACTTAGAAACTTGCAAAAAGTGGGGTGCGTCTTATACGATACGTCTTATACACAGGAAAATACGGTACCCACGGTTTTCAGACTGACACCCAAACAAAGCGTCTTTCATCCACGGTGGCCGGACTAGCTCTCGAAGCACGGCTGCTTGCAAGCGTCTATAGGAACTAGTACTTTGAGCAGTGCATGAACCATGTGCAAAATTTGCTTTTTTCCTCGGGATGACGAGCTTAAAAGCTGGCAAATTATGCAACATTCCAGCCGCTGAAAATCGTGTGAGCTGTGAAAAATGTGCATCGCAATGTTTCCAGAAATATTTAGCTAAAAGCTGGTGGCAATGGAATCCTTGCAAATCTAGCCAGTCTGCATACTTGCATTCCACAATGTGCCACAGGTACTGTACCCCCTTCCTAATGCCGATTTCAATGACACTTCAGGTATAGCATATGCCCTTTCCTATACCGAGGTCCAGACAAGCATCGGAAAAGCACATTACTTCTCTGGCCATAATGTACAAAAGTACATTATGGCCAGAGAAACTGGCCAGTCACAGCTGTGAAAGAGCTTTTGCCAAAAAGGCAGCATTTTGTTCAATCTATGTGCAATTTGTCACGAAACTTGACAAGCTTGCATGCCTTATTTTTAGCCAGACAATGCGGGGTTACATAGTCCGCACTATGGTAATAGAAAAAAAACACCTACATATTGCGTCGCCGAGCGAGTGCGTGCGTGGCCGAGGAGTTGCCGTGCTTGACTTTTGTGCGGAGGCCCTTGGTTCATTCCTGGGACTGGACGCATCTATTTTTATTCTTTCAATTGCGTTCTTGTAAGCTTGATAACCTTGTCGTCTAATCGAGGTATGAATTTTCTACACGCCAAACGTTCTACATCGAATGTTCCAGAAACTCGCACGCATGGCGAGCCAGGGTCAGTCTTGCCCCAGCGCTCGATCCTGCAGTTTCGCCGCCATAGATGCCAAATTATACTTCTATTTTGTTTTGGGCACAAGTTGGCCCCATAAAATGTTTAGTTTGTCCAGTTATGCGCCGCCTCATCATTTGTCGCTCGTGACAATATGCTCCTTTTTTAGCTTACTTATCTACCATTTTTTAGGGTGCAGCTCTTAGATGCCAATTTCTGGGTTGAGCGGCGGCGCTGTCGGCGTAACCATCCATTCTATTATGGGACGTTTCCCATTATGACATCGCACATGACGTTGCAATTAGAAACTTTTCCCGCTTAATTTGGCAAAAAAATTAATAAGAAAAATTTCTTGCTAAATGTAGCGGTAAAATTTTACCCTCGTCACATCACGTGAAACTTAGCATGGAAACTTTTCCACTAGACTTAGCAGAAAACTTTTCTCGCTAAATATGGTGGGGAAATTGACATCACGTGGCCTCAACACTAATTCAGTTTCCCCGCTAAATTTAGTGGGGAAATATACTAACATTTTCCGCTAAATGGGGGAGCAAGGTCATACTCTCCCCTCCGTACCCTCCTCAAGAACTGTGCTCTAATTTGGCATTAAAGAATTGTAAACTCTTTTTTTTTTTTTTAGATCTCAAAATTTTTAATGGCTTTATTAATATAGAAAGGCAAGCTCTTTCACAAAACTATTCTTTATCAATATATCATTTGAGAACATCCAAACAGTTGCCAGTTCTAATGCAAGAACAGTTTTTCAATGACTTTACCTATAGTACAAACCTACAAAAACTATACCCTGGCAGTCTAATTCACCTCCCGATGTTCAATCTAGAGGCTATGTAGCTGCCTCGAAACAGAAGACCACTGGATAATGTTGAGCAGTTTCCACATTTACTGTCGGGTATAATCCCACGAAAACAAATCAACAAGATGCAAATTCAAAAATGTTCCTAACCTTTTAGGATTAGGTTTCCCATCAAAAAGTTAACTTTTTCTCCCCCTATTATAAATGCAAAAATAAAGCCTCGGTTGTGTCATAAATGCAAAAAGCAAGCCTCGGTTGCGTCATAAATGCAAAAAGAAAGCCTTGGTTGCAAGCAGAGCTTTTTCGATCGGGTCGTGGAGAAGCTGCCGGTGAAGCTACTAACTGCGAGCACAACTGTATATCGACCTTCAAAGCCGGTCCGTCACGAGGGCCGTTACGAGACTGCCAGCACGAAAAGTCTCGGCGCCTTCCTTGGATCCGGGGAGAACGATGAGCGCGTTGACGCCGCGGAAACTGAGCAGCCGGCTGCTGATCTGGTTTCCAGAGCTTGTGGCAACTGGGAGCGAACCGGGGCTCCAGTTCAGCACTGCCCTGTGGTACTCTGGACGGGGGTCCAGCTGGATATCGTCGGCCAGCTGGAAAAACATAGAAATGTGCAAAGAGTGCAGTTTCAGTCTGAAACAAATAGCTGTTTTGGTCGGTTATTGAATAGTTCCTCTGACTTTTCACTACTCTTATATACGAAAACCCAGCTGGACTCTTAAAGTATGTTTGCAAGCTTTCACTTGTCCATTTCTAAGGTAAAGCTAATTTTAATCTAACTGTATGAACTGTGGCCTCAGAAAGTCCAATGCCTATTTAGGATGGCAAGTAAACGAGATTTGACATGAAATTAAACTTACAAAAATGCCTAGCTACACCTAATCGAGGGGATTTACAAGTCTTTGCTATGTGCAGGTTGTCGGTACATCTCTGCGTAAGATACTCTTGCATCATAGCCACAGCTAATTTTGAAAATTTGCTGCAATGTAGAAGTTAGCATTTTGCAAACTTCCCATTTCTTTTTAAATACACCAGGCGCGCATGTGCACGACCCCACTTTGAAACTATTTTTCTCGTAAGCACGCAACTGTGATATTCAGACTTTTCGAAGTACTAATCGCAGCGGGTTAGTCCCGTTGAGTGCGCTTCTAACCAAGCACTAATGTGCTCCGGGGAAACGACACCCACGGAGCTCGCTTCCGCGGGTATGGCTTCTCCGCAGTGCATCAGTGCTCGATAAGAAGCATGCTCAGAGGGGCTAATCCGCTGCAATCAATGCTTCGAAAAGTGTGAATATCGCAGTTCATCTCAAAGCGAATATTAAAGCTACTATTCGAAAATTCTAATATTTCTACAGTACGAAAACAATAATCAATTTGACTTTGCAAGAGAGCTTGCAAAGATAACTTATGAAATAGAAGCTCGCGGCAAGGAACCGGATTATCATTATAGTCCCTGAACTATGCCTGTCTAAGAGTTTAAACTTTAAGCGGTTTGGACTATGGAAGGAATAATCCTTCCTGATTGTTCATTATGACAAGAGATGATGGGCATTGTTGATAACAGAGTATATGTATGATACAAGCTTCTCTGTGAACTAATAAAGCGGGCACTTGTCAAAATGTGCTTTAGCGACCCTGGTGCATAAGGCACCAGGGTCGCTAAACTCGTCAACAAAAATATTCTTCGTGTTATGACATAGTGAGGGGAGGAGCCGAAAGATCGCTGCGACGTTTTCATTTCTCACAAACCCGCAGATCCGTCTGTCTTCGTGACGTTTTCCGTTGAGGGGACGAAAAATCCCTACGCCTCCCTAGGCACCGAACAAGAGCAGCACTAGAGAGCGCGCGTAGACCACCGTGGCTCATACGTGTGACGTCACAACAAAGATTATCAGCTGTGACCGTCATGTTTGATGGTCTCTAAAAAGCACGATGGATGCTTGGGAATTGCATTTTAAAATCAACACCGTCGAAGTTGATAGTCTGGTATCGTTCTTATTTCCGCCGATAAAGCAGAATTTACTAAAAAGCGTCCCTGTCGTTCTTTTGATTTATCTCGGCCTTTCGAATCTGGCCAAAGTGTAGCCCGACGTGGCTAGGTCACAACCAGCCGACTACCGTTGTCCACTTTCGGGCGAATTTCGCCTCTGGGCAGTTGTCCCTTCATCGGCGGGATAAAATCGTTTTATGGTAGACATTCGAAGATCAGTCAGTTTGGGATTAAGTATGTTTATCAACGGAAATAAGAAAATAAAAGTAATGTCAAGTTGTCAATATTGGCTGTGATGCTTCAAGAACGCAATGGCACTAAACTTGACATCGTCGATTTGAATACGCACCCTCAAATTTGTCGTTCACAACTGATAATCCTGACTCCATCGTCAAAGGTATCAACTATAAAATGACGTCACTGAACGCACCCGCACACGTATACGTGCCCTGGCACGAGTCTTTCGCTTGAAAGTCTGTCATGGCCCCTCTTGAGTTCATGGAACGCGAGCCGTTTTAATTCCAGAATCTCTTGAACCGTTATTTCGAAAATTGCAGGCTGTTCTGTTCCTCGTCATTGCTCATTGGAACACCTGTCGAAACAGGAGGATGGAGAGGAGGGGGGGGATTTACCCCCCCTCCCCCAGTTGCGTCGAAAGAGGGGGCAAGGGGCATAAGGGTGAAAAAGGGGGGGGGGGGGGGGGGGGGGCGGGTATCGCCCCAGCCCCGAACCACCATAGCATTTCAGAGTTATAATACATTATTAGGGGAAAGGAATATCCCCCTTCTTCACCACCATCACCTCCTCTCTCTCTCTCTCCCGAACAATTTCTACGGCCCTTCTTGAGGCTCCTATTTGTGTGCGTGTGTGTGTGTGTGTGCGTGCGTGCGTGTGCGTGCGTGTGTGTGTTTGTGTGTGTGTGTGTGTGTGTGTGTGTGTTGGTCGTACCTTAATTCTTTCTTTAGAGCGCAGCTCTTCGGCGCTCGTTTCCGGGTTTCGCGGCGTGGGCGTCACCGTCTGCGTAACCGGCCCGCTAAATTTAGCGCGAAATTGACGTCACATGACCTCAACACCAATTCAATTCCCAGCTACGTGACTTCAACGCATATTCACTTCTCCGCTAGATTATCATGTTATGTCCTTTTCCCTGCTAAATTTAGCGGAGAAACTGAATGGCAGGAGGAGGGGAGGAGAGGAAGAGGGTAGGAAGAGGGGCATACCCTCCTCTCCGTACCCTCCCATATTCCTCCTCAAGAGTTGAGCTCTAATTTCGCATTACAAAGATTTGTAAACGTCTTTAATTTTTTTTTATTTCCCTTTCTTCGGCTTTTTTCTTTTTTTATTCTTTGTTTTCCCTTATCTCTCAGACATTACCGACGTGTCTACACGAACCGCCTGTGGGTGACCCCGGTGGCGTTGTTGACAGTGGCGGAAGATGAGCTCTATAAAGCCGCCCGCGTGCACCGCGCACGGCTCCACAACATCACAAAGTTCAATCTTCGCCTCGATTTCGAAGCGAAGATTTTGGCCTCAAATAACTCCTTCCCAAAGTTGTTAAACGTCACTTTGTCGTCACCAATAACTTCCACAAACGACGATCTTGCGACGAGAAAGTTCAAAGTATTTACCGGCCGCCTAGGTACAATCTACGCATCATTGACTCTAACGCGGCGCAGGGATGTAGGGACACTCGGGCGAGACGTCATCAGTGCAGCCGTTCAATCGGCTGGCACCACGGTGTTGCTCGCACGCGCTTCGATGGAGCTCGCTACGACTTTGTGTTTTACATTCTCGCTCGAATTTAAACACCGAGAGAGCTTGGATGATTGACACCTCGCTCGGCCTGACGTCAGCGTCGCGAGAGTCCAATTAGCGCGTTCCGCAACTTTCGGACACAAAGTTGTGCTCGACGAGTTTAGCTACCCTGGTATGAGCTCTCTAAGGAAAAACTTGTTGCATCCACAATTTGGCTGTGTTGACTACAGTGCAACCCACTTATAACGATACCACATATAACAATCAGTTTCTAGACTGGAAATGATCAGTTTCTAGTCCAGATACAACGATAATCAGTTATGTTTGAAATGTTGTGTTTTTTCATTATCGTTATAAGTGGGTTGACTGTATGACCAAGTGCAGATTATAATCGGGAAAACACGGTACCACTGCAATGTTGCGACTTCTGGCGAGGAATCAATGTTGTATGCTAGACTGAACATACCATTGCTAAGAGATACACAGTGCAGCACTGTTGGCACAAATAAGTGATCTCAGTTTTACTTTTTTTAATAATTGAAATGCTGCCATTGGAACGACTTGTATGGTGGAACGTGCTCTTTCCAGCACAGACCTAAACAACAGAAATTGGTGCCCAAACAAACCCTTTTGAAGTAAAATAAAAAAAAAGTGCTAATGCTGTGTACCTAGTGCCTTTTCTTGAATTTTTTAATGGTGCTGGACATGCATACACATGACCGCCAACCTCTCCCCAGTCTGTTTCACGATGACATTAAAACTTGGGGGAGGCTCAAGCTTCGCCGTTAAGAGTGGAACGCAATAACGTTCTCGGGCCCCGTTCACATCGCCTTCGCCGTGCAAGTGTGCCTTGCGTGGCCTAGTCAATAGCGTGTCTGGCTCGCAATCGAAGGGTCATGGGTCTAAATCTTGCCAAAAATTCAAATATTTTTTTTAAGGCAAATGAGTTGCTTTATAAAGTGAAATCATTTGAGACATGTGGCGAACTTTAATTCACATTACATGTTACGTTTTATTCCATTTCATTCCACGCGCAACGTCACGTTTCACGTGAGTTGTGGGTTGCTTGAAATTCCCGCGCAAGGTCATGTGGCTATGACGTCGACCCTATCAACCAATCAGTATTTTTGCGTCGCGCAACCGACGCCGGCTTTTTTGCAATATGAGCTCTTTAATGCTGTCGCGTTAAAAGAGTTTTAGTACATTGTTCTTACACTCTCAGTAATGATAGGATGCATATGCAAAGGAATGAGTGAAGTACGATTAGCTTTATTGGAGGTATTGAAACAAGCTACTAAAACTCCCTAAAGACTCTAGGCTGGCAGTAGTGCTGAACTTTTCAAAGTGCCCCGCTTGACCCGACTTTCCTTACTTCGTGAAACACAATGCAAACACAGGCTTACATTTCTGGCACGTAATATAGAACCTGCCCGGTAAGCCAGCACAGATTTCAAAGGCTAAAAGTAAGTAAAAAAAAAAAGGCCGCTCGCTCAAAGTCATTTTTAGCGATTTCTTCGACCACAGGCGCAAATCAGCATCGAATCCAAGTCACCTTTGCTGTGATTTCGGTCGGAAAGACGTTGATGTGGTGCGACATCCTTCGAAGTGCCGGCAACACGTAGAGGTGGCATGTCACCGTGGCAGACACCGGATTTCCGGGCAGGCCAAACACCAACTTGGGTCTGCCCAGGTATTGCAGCGTCGCAAACGTAGTCGGTTTTCTGCCAAGAAAACAGGACAACCGTCGTAGCCGCGTCAATGTTTGTGGTTCGTGTTTGTCACACGACCTCTGTCCTGGATGGTGCAACTAGGGTCGCTAAATAGAGTAACGACCCCATCAATCGTCTTGGCACTCAAAAGCATCATTGCCGGTTGTCTAAAGCTCGACCCGAAATCGCCGGAAACTATTTTTTATCCTCCAGAAATGTTCGCATTGTCACCGATGAAACAAAACTTTTCGACATCATGCCTAAAGCCCAAGGAGTCACACTTTCAAGTCGTAACAATAGCCGACTGCAGCCGCTCTGCACTAAGCATCAAAATGGCGGCCCCGGCAAGAAATTAAAAAAATAGAGCGCCACTATCTGAAGCATTAGTGGCTCAAAGTGCAAATGCTTTGGACGACAGTCCAACCACAGAAGCGTATGTACGAAATTATCACGCCTTCAACAGCTATCGGCTTGTACCTAAAGCTTTCATCGTGGTGAGAGATAATGGCCAGCAGAGAATAGTGAGGCACAGCACACTCACCCCGGCTTCATGAAAACCCGCCCGAAGTGTACGGTAGCCTGGAATTTCTCGGAGAGCACGGCCTTCAAAAGGTCCTGTCGGAGAGACGAGCATCATTGCCTCGCTCAGAGATGGCTAAACCGAAGGAAGCCGTGTTTGCACAATTTTAACTCACACTTTTTTTCGCCAAAATCTGTGCCCAAAATTACATGCGTGTTAAAATCAAGACCAAAAACCGAAACCCAAAAGAAAAACGCAATACTTGGTATAAAATGGCTAGCCCGATCACCATTGTGACCGTTTGTTTACATTTGCCACTTTGGTATCCGTATCACGCGCATTCTCTCGCGTCTACGGAGTCGTGCCTGCCGTTTTAAGATCGAAAAACAAAAGAAATTACACTAGGAGGCTTTATAAAATGAAAGGCCATCACGCTGGTGGGAAAAGATAACAACGGAGCGGCACTGCGTGGCCTCGCAACGTTGGCGACCCGACGAGCTCGTAGAGTGTTTCTTGGAAGACGACCCTTCCAGAGACAATTGTCGCACACTTGTACAAGTGCAAAAAGCACAGCACTTAGAATGCTTCAGACGAAAGCAAGGATTACCTCTTTGGACAGGGAAGAACCATCGTCAGACTGACAAGGCGACTAGTGCACGGCATTTATTTTTGTGTTGGCGTTCCTTTCATAAAATCCGTTCTATGAGATGTGTTTTCAAGCTTCAATATTTACCTGCGTGGTAGAATCGGCAACAATTTACTTTTTGAATATCTGGAAGCTAAATCTGCTTGCGCGTTAAAATTGGGGGAAGCGTTAGAATCATGCAAACACGGTAGGTTTTGCAAGCCAAGCTATCATAAGTAGGTTGTAGGAAATGGCGCCGAGATTTTCACGACACGACTGTAGGGCGTCATCGCTGGATTAGAGCACTGGAAAATCATGCAGAATGAGAACACGACAACATTTCTTTCTCTACAGTCAAGAACAGCTCGAGGAACGCGGGACATGGCAAGTTCAAAACATCTTGTCAGCAGCCAGTGAGATGGCAGCATCAGTCGATAACGCAACATCAGTCGATAACGCAACGATAACGAACACAATTGGCACTGCCCTGCATTTCTTAAGCTGTCAGTGTTTGTATAGCGGACGAATTAAACAAAACAGAGCCTCACTTTCTCGCCCATGGACACACCTCCCGAAGAGACCAACACGTCGGCTGCTTCGAAGGCGCGTCGGAGCTTTCCACAGAGGTCCGCACGGCTTGAAACGTCAAAGCAAGAGCAGGCACTTAGCTTTCAACAAACGCTCCACAACACCTAAAAACAAACGCAGGGAAGAGGAGTGACTCACCTGTCGAGCGCAATTCCGGCGTCGATGGCCTCAAACCCGTTGCTTGAGAGCAGCGAGAGCAAGGTGGTCTTGTTGCTGTCCCTTATCTTCCCGGGTTGAACTTCACTGCCGGGAACCACGAGCTACGAAGGAGTTTTGCCGGAGAAAGACCAGGATTTAGGAAGGGCAGTTAATTTCGGCTTCTGACCAAGGGGATGGCAAACACCCATAGTGTATGATTACCAGATGTTGCGTCCACCCCACCACGGTAAAATACTGCACATGTGTTCACGTCCCAATAAGTGCCCACTCACTACTTTTGAAATGTTTAAAACTAAACAAAAGGACATATCAAGTGCCCACCTCAGACTTCTGAGCGCACCTGTACTCGTTGCATAAAAGGAAAAGGAAGTTTTGTACCCTATTCATGCGCTGCGCGAAGTAGTCTTTGTAAGGTTTGGCTGTTGAAAAAAGAAATGTTTGAAACTCGGTGTCTTGATAAAATAACACAAAGCTAATCTAAGAGGCACCTACCCTAAAATAGCGAGCACTTGCCCTTTCCGCAATAAGCGCGCATCCCCCAATTTCGTAACATTCGGAAAATGCACAAAACAAATGTCTTTACATACTGTTGACCTAACAAGCGCCCTTCCCCCAGTTCTACACAATTATCTCCAAACTTCGAGTGGGCGCTTGCTCGGGATTTCGTGGTACATATATCTCAATTGAACAAATGAAGCGGGATATTAGTAATGCTCCGTGAAGAGCCGGACATTTTTTACCGCAGTTCTCGAGGTGAATGCGAGTTTAGGTAATTCAGATGCTCTACGGTGTCGGCCACTTCTCCAAGCACACCGGTGCAATGCAGTGAAACTCGATGCACACGTGCCGGTGCTAAGCAGTGAAGCACACCTCACCATGAGCTCGTCCTGCATTTTTGCCCTCGGACCGAACCTCCAACTTCTGGGTGGGCACTTGTTCGGTAGGCATATAATTATGCTTCAGTCTCCACGCTTTGTATGGAAGAGTTCAAGTGCAGGCTTTATTTGAAAAAGTGCAGCTTGCCCACGAAGGCACCCTTGCAGTCTCTATATGCTCGTGAACAAAGCACGGGTTATTGCGAGCCTGTGAAAGATACTATCGGGGCTTGTCGGTGTCCGCTTTTTCTGTTTGTCACTCTAGTGGGACTGTGGCCTTAAAAAGCTCGCATGCACTTTGCACTTCCCACCTCCACTCGCTTCCTGCTTTCCCACGCAATGGGTAAACCAGGCCACAAAAGGGACATTGTGCCTTTATGGGCGTGAAATAGTGTGTAGCAAGAGATGGTAAGTCAAACCTCATTTCCAGTAGAAAGCACCGCTACGGATGGCAGGCAGAAGACTTTGACGGTCGTGCGGCCCACGGTGGCAAGAAGCCCGAGCTCGGCGGGACCGAGCTTAGTTCCTTGAACCAAAACCAGCTCGTTCTTCTCAATGTCAGAGCCGACGGGGCTGCAATTATTGGTTCACTGGTGGGCTCACAGACAGGATAATAAGTAACAGGCACAGATAGTGTTCAGGAACTAGGAAACAACCAGGGGCAATTTTTGTACGAGCAATTTCACACTCCCTAGGCGAGCGAAGTGTACTTCACCCCGCTCCCCCACCAAAATATATTGCATCGCACCACAAATGTTGTACCACTAAAAGAATGTTGGGGAGTACAGCTATCTTTCTATTACGTTGTACATACGGACCACATATATATATATACCGTAATATCTCGAGAGGTAGCCCACCTAGAATCGAAAGCAAATCGGGTGAGAATAAAGAGCATGCAAACTTTTGGTGCGTGAACAAAAAAGTTGCAAAAAATGCTAGTTTTAGCTTGTGTGACCCGTGTAACTAGTGACTGCGGGGAGGGGCAATGAATCAAAGACGACTGTCCTTTCCAGTCAACAATGTTTGCTTATCTCCCGTTTTGGCTAAGTAACACCATTTCTGCTGAGGTCACCATTGACCAGGGCCCTGCAATTAACAAGAAATGGGCTATCTTTTGGTGTCTGACAAAATTGCTAATCGTGCCAAAAATAGGGTGCGAGTTATCTTTCAGCAGTGGGACATCTCTCGGGACGTTACGGTATCTAATACAACTCGTCCAAAAGCTGTAAATAATCATTTTTACAATCAAGACCTTAGTTACCTAGAAGAGTGATGCAATGCTTACAGGTTACATACTGTATTTATCCAATTCTAATGCACACCCAGTTTTTATTATATCTAAAAATAATGATTCTAACATGCCTCCAATTTCAGTTTCGTATCCAATTCTTAAGACTGGTTTACACGCTTGCATTTGAATACGACCAACTGCACCACAAGCGGTCTTTAGGCCTCTTGCGACTGGTCGGCTGTGCAGCAATGCAGTCGGTCAAAAGCAGTCGCAAGAGCAAAAATACTTAAAATGCGCAGGTCATTTTTAGGTATTTTTTTTTCTCAAGGAAAAGGTGCGCATTAGAATCGAGTAAGTATGGTACTACATATGGTACCATAATTTATAGTCAGTGTGATAGAGGTGGCTTTTCGCTGTAGGTTACAAGTCACAACACCCAAAAGCGACCCTTCTTAATGTCGATCAGAACGCTTGCAGCTTACCGGATATCTTGACCTGTTTTGGGTGCTTTCAAAATCTTCACCGTGATTTCTTGGGTCCCCTGTTCTGGGTTCAAAGCAAGTGGCACTCAACAAGGTGTATAGTTGGTAAAATTTACAACTATGTTTGCATCTCTATACACCAACTCATGTTTACAAACAAACCGGAGCGCCCCTAGCGGACGCCACCGGCGCCGCGCATGCGCGGTGGATGGTGGGCAAGAAGCCCGCCATCGCCCATAAACAAACCATTGAATTGCGTTGTTGTCGGCGTTGGTGGGAGTCCCCGTGCTCTTTTTCGCGTTGGAATTGTTGGTTCTACGTCCTCCTAACAATGTCTGACTACTTGAGCGGCTTCAGCAAAACTAACTAGGCAAAACTTTGCGTGAATAATGTGACGTGAGGCGATTCATTTCACGTGGACGCCGCAGAATGGGCGCTAAACCCTGACTCCCACGATGAGATTCTGCTCGCTATTTTCAGTCGCGACGTTGCTCGGACTGCAAAAGCGTGAACCGTAGCTGAGATGGTGGACGTCGATACTGAAAACCGCAAGTAGAATCGGGCATTACAAGTCGTTGATGGCCACTGGTAACAATGATCAACATCTTCTTGTATCTGTTTACACTTAGCCTACTCACCCCAACCAACCTTCAAAAGTGTTTTGAGGCCTGCACTTAGTTCTTATCGCAATTACCGGGTCAAAGTTTGGTTTACGGGCCGCTGTCGTTTGAACGAGCTGACGACAAAAAGCAGCCAAGTTCGAGAGAGCAGACGACAGTTCGAACGCATCCGCAATGGAGTACGGGCAAGAAGCACCGCGTCCCGCGTCAACAAATCATTCAAATGTCATGTTGTCGGCGTCTGTGTGAGTCTGCAAGCTCCTTTCGCGTTGGAATTGTCGATTCTACGTCCTCATCGCAATGTCTTACCACTTTAATCGCCTGAGCGAACTTATCAAGGCTCGTTACGCCGCTAAACTTTCCGTAAAATATTTGACGTGCGGCGATTCATTCGCATGAACGCCGCAGAATGGACGCCAAAACCATGATGAGATTCTTTTAGCTATTTTCGGTCGCGACGTCGCTCGTGCTGCAAAAGTGTAGAAGGTAGCGGTGATGATCGACGTCGATACTGAATATCGGAAGCGGGAACAGACCAAGCGTAACAAGTCGGTGATGGCCACCGGTACCAATGATCAACATCTTGTATCTTCTGTTTACACTGAGTCTACTTAAGTCTTCTGACGCCTGCAATTACTTCTTATTGCAATCACCGGATCAAAGTTTGGTCTACGGGCCGCTTTGGTTTGAACGAGCAGACGACAAAAAGCAGACAAGTTTGAAAGAGCAGACGAAAGTTTGAACGATCAGGCGGCCGTGTGAATTCGAAGACGCACTGAACCCGTGGGTGGTCCGGACAACTTGGCGGTTTTCTCTCGTTCATGTTGGAACAAAGCAAATACATCTGGTGACCACAAAGTGTTGCCCTCACACACAATCGTAGTTCGACAGCGTCTGGTTTGCCCCTTTCACGGCTACTATCCACGTCCTTAGACGAACGGAGGGGGCAGAAACACATGAAAACTGATCTTCAAACCTTTCCAGACTCTCTTGGTACACCCCCATCGCAGCATTTTGACAAGAAGGCAGGTTTTTTGTCTCGCTTCTTCCAAAGGAACACAGGAATGCATGTCTGGCACGGCGACTTCTGCCCACCGCCCCAGACCGGAAGTACGTCCGGCGCGCCACCACCGCGGCGTGACGTAGGAGAGTTGAGTTTGTGTATAAGAGAACACAAAACTACTACCCTACTACAAAATTAGTATTGTAGTGCTTTTTGCTTGTATAATTTGAAATCCCAAACAACGAGGTGATGCAACAGTCTTAACAGTAGTACACAGGTCAGTGTCATATATCGACCGGCGTTGCGACAAGTCTATAGTAGCGTAGATTCATTGCTTTAGCAACGAGTTACAGCGTCAGTTTCATGTTGTGCTTTTCTCAGATTTTTATTTATGAGATATAAATTCCTGAACCCTCATGGGTTGACCTGACACGAAAAGAGGAAAACAAACTCAGGACAAAGAATGACGAATATATTCAGAGTTTGTTTCTACAGCTTACAGTTAATTTGACTGTATAGGTTGGTTAGCATATCTTTCTGTGTACTGCTTGTTTTGTTTCAGAGGCAGATTCCGTTGTGTTTTCTAATGATAGAGGGCATTCAGGTTTTGAAGAACACAAGGTCAGTTGAGTAAATAATATATTCACAAAATAATTTATATGTTTATAATCAATAAATTAGTTGATTCAGCAAATCTAAAATTTATTTCTTCATCACACATGGAAAATTACCTAGACAGAAATCAATAAAATCGAAATCACTATAAACCAATCAATAAAAATCAAGGAATTTAAATAAATCAATACTTCATATAAATAAATAAATTTATTTACTTTAGAAGTACGTGAATCTTACACTTTCTATTGTGAATCAAACATGAATCTTAAACTTTGACTGTGAATCAAATTAAATAAAATTTCAATCAGAATATTTTACATAAATAAATAAAATGACAAATATTTCACACACTTGTATTAATTTTAAAAAAAACTCAGAAAAGATGAGTTGGATAAAACAATGTAATATATATGACAAGCAGAACAATGACTACATTATTTACTTAAATACAGCTGAAGTTTTCTTTTCCACCACTGACCTACAATAGTGTGCAAAATTTCGATAACTATGGAGCCCACTGAGACGCTCCAACACATCAGCCGTTTCTCCTAGCACGCCGGTGTAAAGCAGGGAAGCTGATATGCGCTGGCTGGTGCAAAGCAGAGAAAATTGACGTACACATGTCAGTGCAAAGCAGCGAAGCTTGAAGCCAGATCGCTAATCGGAGCAGTGCAGCCGGACATGAGACTCCAGAGAATTCCAAATATACAAACGAGTTTTAGAATAGTGTACCCAAAAGCCTTGTGTCTGCAAAGAAACAGCATCGTCACCTTGCGCCAACCCAAGCCCCATTTGGGCCTGGCACGTGCGCAGTGGCGACAACACTTTTCATACGCAAAGCTTTGGGGGTATGCTATTCTAAAACTTCCCGTTATGATTCGGAACTTTTAAGAAATATAAAGACTCGAGTATGTCGAACAGTAGAAGTGTGCAGCGAATTGAATCGTATAGCGTGTACACTGTTTGCAAAGTTGTCGAAGTTCCTAACGTTTGCGCACCTCTGCTTTTAATCTCGGCAAAACACTCACGTCTGGCGATGCCTGCAGAAGCTCGGTATCTTCGACTTGCACCACGGCATCGCAGGGCTCTGGGACTGGGGCGCCGGTACTGATCCTCACGCAGTGACCTGGCGAGACTCGACAGTCCGGCTTTTGGGTCATGAAAAGAGAGCCTCGCGTCATTTCTAACTTTGCGTGCAAGGAAGCAAAAATGGCTTACGTCGCAACCCGCTGCCACAGCGTCGATCACAGTCCTTGGACCTTCGCCATCTGAAGCTGAAACGAATGATTTTGAGGATGATTTGATGATGATTATGGCCGATGATGATTTTTGCAGTTTTTATGGCCCAACTTCAAGGAAGGCCAGGTAACGAAAAGACATTTTGACTCTATGTATATGTTGCACCACGGTGTAAGGTCGAGCAAACTTAGGTTTAAGAAAAAATGCATAGCGACATGCTGAGCAATTGCTGCACGTGAAACGTGTGGCGTCCACACTCTTGGTGCTCTCCGTCAGTTAGTTTAGCAACTAGCTTAATGCGTGGCATGTAGTGTACACTCGATAAGAAATCCTGGAACGGAGATACCAGCAATAATTCGGGTTTTAAAAATGTGCGACAGGGTGTCAAGTTTCTAACTGCTGGACGCAGAGAGGACGCCCCCTTTCCCACCCAATAGCACACTGCGATGTGTCATGACATGCTGGAAAGACACTCGCATAATAATCTAAATGGCCTGGGTTTGGTTTCCGCCTGGTGCAAAAAACTTCTTTATTGCGACATCCTCTTCCTTCCCACTCAAAAACAGTCAGTGTCGAGCCTCGCGGCCACGCTTTTATCCAGGCTTCACCTTTTGGGCTTTACGAAATTTCGAACACCTAGCCCAAAGAATGCTTTACGTTAAAACACTCCAGTCAAAAATTAATGTCAACTATGCTTTTTTCTTTAAATTTTTAGACTGCAGATCCCTTCAATAAGTCGACCGACTTTCTCCAATCTTATTACAGTTTAATGACGTCAAAAATGGTATAATTTTGTATTTATTTAAAGAGATTGTGAATGTAGTTCCTTGGCAAATATCTGATGTCTGCAAAAGCAATGCTCTAGCAAAGCAATAATGTGTTCTTGAAAAAAAACCTAATCTAAATTGAATGGTTGATTGACTGATTACCGATGACTGCATAACCGTCCTTGATAGATGCTGGGAAAGGTGGCAGAGGATCGCTGGCATGCACATCCTCGGCTAGGAGTCTCCCAAGGGCATCTGGAAACGGAGGCATGACTGCATACGCTTGGAAGCATTGACTTCATATTACAGCGATTTGATTGGTCCGAGTCATTTTGGAGGACAATAGAAACTTTTGGAGCACAAGTTCACACTTCGTTTTTCATTCCCACCACCGCAAATATTATGCGTTAAAATTTATGTGCTGGTGTGTCCATCAAATGACATAGTCTACATTGCCGTCCCACTTCTATGCAACCTTTTCTTTGCTTGAAATGCACGGCAGGTTTGATTCCCTCAAACGCAAAATTGGCCATTTCGAGTAAAATTACCAGGAACAACAAAAGTATGTTGATTGATGAAGGACAGTATGAACTGCTGTTAGTGGTCATTTTAGCTAGAGGCAAAGGTGAACCAAATAGTGTATTCCACAGAAATGATTTGAGAACAAAGTAATATTGAGCACCCAAATTGATGTTTCAGTGAAGTCCTAAAGGATGTCATAAAACTGCTATTAAGTAAAATTAAAAACAAAGCTGTTGTCATTTGATTAACACCAATGACAATTTATATGTGGGCCTTCATGATAACAAAAATCGGCCTGTGAACAATAAGTGAGTCTTAGAAATAATCCAGTCGAACTCACTAAGGTTATTCTCAAGTTTCCATTCATTCTTCCTACTAATTTAGTTTTAATCTATTCTGTCCACTGTGCGATTGTACAGATGCAACCTATGTAAAGCTAATTAATAAACAAGAGAGTAGGCATAAAAAAAGATAAGCTTATAGAGCAGTTCATATAAACCTTCCCACAATATGCAATTATCTTGCTAAATCTTGAATTTGAACAAAAATCACCAGACTATTGCAGTCTATCATATATACTCGCTGCAGTTCTATTCACAATTTTTTTTACAGCAACATAGAGTGGTTACATCAGCATTTACCATGTTAATTTCTTTCTTTTTTAGTACTGTAAATTTCTTTATTTTCGCAAACTCTATATTTCGCTAATCAGTCACAGAGGACGTAATCGCAGCCACTAAATTTCGCAAATTCCAGGCGCCTGCATTGAAACTCTTATAGACCAAAATTTTCGGTGTGCCCCTAAAGTTCATGAACATTTCAATTCGCGAAAATTAAGGGCTCGCAAACATTAAGGGTTTTACAGTGTACCCGACACTTGTGCGTGCAACGCTCTGCCTTGCTCTGACGGAGTGCTTTATCCTTAGTGCGTAGCTGCGATGTGGAGAAGCAACATATGCAAAATCGCGATGTCAACTCTGCGGTTCTTGCTTCACCACAGCGCACCAGTGCATGCAAAAAAGCCCACTCAAAGAAGCTACCTAACCCACCAGAACAGACCACCAACAATATAAATATTGCGCAGTTTCCGAGCACTGTTAGTGTTTGATAGAGACCAAATTGAGCAGGACGTCATTTGGAGGCGATAATAGAAAGTTATGAAAATTATAACAAGCCTACCATAACAATCTGGCCATGTAGCAGGTCCCCAGCTATTCTATTTTCAGTATTAAGTGAAATTGCTCTTTGGTGCAATGTTGACGCAAAGTTATTACATTTTGCCAAAATGTAGCAGGACGTCGCAGGGTAAGCACTTTGTCGCAAATAGCGCAGCAATCACATCACTGATATTATCTATTATTTAAAAATATAATTGATTCATTGGTTGCTTGTGCCTACACTGACACCAGCCGTGCATGAAGCAGGCAGACAGTATGTCACCTAGATCAGACCAAGGTCAAATTTGCTGTGTGAACACTATTTTCGTCAGTGCAATAAGAGTGTCAACCTGGAAACTTTATTGTGAACCAACAGCACTATAGTAATTACATGAATGCACACCGATGCAATGACTGCACATATCGTTAACACACTCAACCATTGAACCTTTTTAGATTGGTTATTAGTCACGTTAACTACAGTAACATAGATTACACCCCAGCTTGGTTATGGTAACATTTTGCTTAGTTACCAAATATATTCCTTACACTTTACTGCTGAAACAATCCAGATATTGCGATTCACCAGACTAACTTGAATAATTTGCAAACCCTTTATGGATGGGCCTGCACATCCATTCTGCTGCCACACGTCTGTCCAATCATAATAATCAACAGAACAAACTCGGCAAAAGACAACCTTTATAAAGCGTTTGTTCATAAAAAGACAATATCCCTTGGATAATGGCCAACAAGACACCGGCTTCTGCTTCCCCTCAACGCTCCCTACCGTACCACTGAAATGTTACGTACAGCGACACTGCACAAATTCCATTTTCAAGCAAGAATGTTATGTTTACCGCATAATTTCACAAGCCAGACTCCTTCGGTAGACTACAATGACAGGCAGCATGCATGCTCTGCAAAAACTTAGATGCCGGTGAACACTTCCCCGGAGACCACTTCACATTTTCTGGCCGGGAATGCACACACGCTGCAACACTTCCAAAGAATGCCAGCCAACTGCCGTAAAATACTGGGGGGAATGCCCACACGACTTTCACTGAAAACTGGATTAATCTAGACATGGGTGCTCGTCCGTTCAAATCGGGTGCATAACCTACGATTAGCGGAATTCCCAAGTTTGGAACCCGCTAATATAGTGGGCGCTTCCGCGGTATTTTACGGTATACTTAGCGTATTATCCCGAGAAGTACGCCACTTCCGGAAGATAACCCACTTTTAGGTCAATTTTTTGCAGTTTTATTTTAAACACAGAAAAATAGCCCACTCCTAGTAATCATAATGTTTGGATCATGATGACCTCGGCGTAAACCGCTGACTGGGAAGCACAGTCATCTTTGCTTCATTGTCTATCGGCGCGATAATAGGTTTGACAGGAAAACATGTTCTAAAAGTAGTGTTTTTCAACTTTTCTTGATTGTACACCGAAAATTAGCCCGCTCCTTATTTTCGCCCGATTTGCTCTCGATTTTAGGTGGGCTATCTCTCAAGATACCACAAGATGCACAATTGGTTGGCATATATGCATTGTCGCAACTCTGGTAGTTGGCTCCGTTGATACTGAGCCGCTCTATAGTCTGTTGCAGGTCAAGAAAAGGAGGTCAAGCTCCTCCCAAAAGGCTCCCTGTCCCGCTTGATTGGTTATTTCCTCCTTTCAAACATTCAATCTGCTAAGGTGGAAAATGTGGACAGCCTTGTGGGAATAGCTTGTCCTATTTGTCTCAACCTGCGACAGACTGCAATCCCCACCATGGGTTCTCTGGTCGAGCTCCTCGGAACCCAGGCAGTTCCCCATAGTATATTTATTGAAATACAAGAACTTAAATTAGAGTGAGAATTAAAGAAAAAAAATGTAAAGTGGACAAATACATATACTTTATCTTCAAGTGCAATATTTTACTGTTTATGACATTACAAAATAATTGTGACCCCAAGAACTCACCAGACATAAATCAAAGTGTGCAGGAATTGGCATAGTCACACAGGGAAGAAGACTAATGAAAGTGGTGAATCAGATCAATATGCACAACATATATAGGTATACACAAAAATGCAAAGGAATTTTTTCATAGTCATGCCGACATGAAGCAGGGAACTACGAATAGCAATTCTGGTGATAAGAATGTACAATAAACAATATGCCAAAAACCGGCGTTTTGATGCAGTTTTGAGTTTTCCCTCATTCTTTCCGATACCTTCGTTGGAGCTTTTGATGTGTGTTGCGGTGCCAATTTTTAAGCGCTTATTTTTTGTGTTGGTAGGAGCGGGTCGCAGACTGGGTGCCACTCTGAAGACCACAGCCATCCACAGCCGGCCGGAACGCTTCTGCAGGCTCTATACTATGGCAAAACTAACATAAATCATGATGACTACCTAAAACCTGCTCTCTCACTCAAGGAGAACTTATCATGACAATGTAATTAGACCGTTTCAATGTAATAACGGTAAATTAAAGAACTCTTTATTTACCACCGCCTACCAGAGTTGGAGGTAAATAGCTTATCTGCCGAGTCCTTTGCCAAGAGTCTTGTGTCACTAACTTACGTGCGCTTGTTGATCTATCTTCTGTATTTTTAATGTTTTTGTCAGTGTTAGACATTTTTTTTAGTGATATATGTTATTAGGTAGCGCATTTGTTTCTATATGTTAGCACTGTTACGCAACGAGTTATAAAATGGCGCAAGGATTTCTGTTTCGTCATAAGTGCATGCTTTCTTGTGCATGTTGTATATAAATGCTTTTGCGTGAAATGTTTATTGCCTCGCACCTATGTCTTTAATGTACCTACATACAAATAAATAAACAATAAATAAAGAACTGAGTTACCACAACATTTGATAGATTGTGCTGACTAAAGCCCAGCCACAATTACCTTTGAGGGCGACCGCTTCGATTCCAGTCTTGAAGCACTCCCTCAGCACAATATCCTGAGCCTCCTTGACGGACAGCAGAGGGTAGGGCGAGTGTCTCGGCCGGTTTGCGACCCCCGGCTCGCGCTTCTCACTTGACAGGTTGATCGGTGAATCCTTGGCCGTGCACTGGCACCCTTAAGCGTGTTGGCATACAGAATGTTGTTGAAAACAGAATGGCATTGCAGGGCACCCATGAGACGGCTGTGTTCCAAGTCTAACCATAATGGAGGTTTACGAAACAAAGTTTGAATGTCGAGGTTGGCACAATAATGACACTACGAGTATATGTAGTTGTTCCAAAACCAGATAAATAAGCTTGGCTGAAACACTCCTGCGGCAAATAGAGATGCGGATGTTTAGCACTGAAGGTCCCTACTACTCCGCAAGAGCCTTCACAACTGTGAGATCTTTTAGGGCCTGGTATGCATGCCCTCCAGTACACGATTTACGAAGCACTAAAAGTCTGTGTTGCAATCACAACACTTGACATGCTTCCCAATTGGAAATAAACAGTGTGAAAAAATACAGACAAGGACAAAGGGAAGATACGAACGACACAAGCGCTGGACTCGCAACTAAACTTTTATAAATGTTTAGTTGCGAGTCCAGTAAACATTTATAATTTACATCATAAATATGTAGTTGAAAGTCCAGTGCTTTAGTCGTTTGCATCTTCCCTTTGTTCTTGTCTGTACTTTTGTCCACTGTTTATTTCCGATTACCATGAACCAACTCGCCTACATCACGACTCTAATGCTTCCCAACGAAGAGGGCCATATCTATGCTAGTGATTTAGGCATGCAGCCCTTTTGACACTGGATGCAGCCTTTTCACAATGGCCTCCCTTTAGGCTGGTTAGCAACCACAGTGCAGTGCAAAAAGATGGTGCAATACTTTACCATGTTTTTTAGCTTTCGTGGACGGAGCAGACGACGCCTGACAAATAAAGTGCATATACATGAGAATGGCGCACATCAAAAATTCGCTGCTCGCAGAGTCCCGTTACCGAAAGTGAAGCATGGAACTTGTCGGTCTTCTCCTTGCATCCTCTCAATTGGTCAATAGCGTGTGGAATAGCTGGACTGGCAAACTGAAGACATTCCTGTAAAAACAAAAAAAGAAAACAAAACTTTTGTCGTATACTTAGAAATTATACACCGAGCTGAACGATTGCCAGCGTCTCGGCTCTGCATACCTGAGATCCTTTGAAGCTGCCTGGAAGGTTGATGATCAAAGTTTGGTTTCTGATTCCGCAGACCAGTCTTTTGTCAATGTATTTAAAAGAAAGAGACATAATTAGGCAGCATATCAAGAAATGCTGAGTAGAGCTAGACAACAAATGTGATAAAATGTGAACACATGCATGCACCACAGAGAGGTGAAAGACAACAAACGTCATGAAATCGTGCAAGAATACACACACATGCTTTACAGAGAATTGGGTACAGTGGACTCCAAACTTAGCTCCGCCGACTAAGACAGGGGTGGCCAGGCAAACATATTCAAAGAGACATAAAATGGGACTATTAAAAGTGAAGAGCCGCAATAAAAAGGCGGGGGGTGGGGGGGGGGGGGGGGGGGGCAATGTTTTCATTCCTTTTTCTGCTCAGTTGGTGGCCACAGCGAATTCGACTCGTAAGGCAATTGCTCAGTTTGTTTCCTTATTTTGAGTTTCCATTTGGAAGACAAGGACCTTGTCTTCCAAATGGTCTTCCAAAGCTGACAAAACGCAAGCTGCCTTTTTTTCTATATGTCTGGGGGAGGGGGCAAGGGTCAGGTTTGCCAGGGAGCCGCAAACCGCACTTGGGCCACCAAAGAGTCACATGAGGCTTGCAAGCCGTGGTTTGGCCATCTCTAGACTAAGCAACTGCGGGCTAGCTGGAGAATTCTCATAGGTTGGTGGTAGGGTGGGAGCATTAAATACGGACAGTGTGTGAATGCAGTAAAATAAAAGCATTTCCGTCGTTCAAAACAAAGAGTGTTCGGGTTTACAAAGATCTGGAGAACTAGATGATTGTGAAAAGCTATGACTCTTATAGTAAGAACAGACAAAAAAAAAGTGTTCAATTGAAAATGCAGTTCTCAAGGCAGTCCAGAAGCTTAAATCATACCTCGAAAGCATAGCCATGGGAGTGACTTCTAACGATTTCTGGATGATTGCCACCGCCATTCCAGGGGCTTCTTTTGTGATCACTGCTCTTGTAGCCTACGATTCAAATCGAGATATTGTCACTTTTTAACAGCAACACATGAGCAAATGTGCTTTGTGGAAAGTCAGACAAGGAGCCACCACATTTTAGTAAAACAAAATGTTCTCCAGACAAAACAAATAGACAGGGTAGGCAGGCGAGTTTTGAGAACTATGGGTTCTGAAACTGGCATCCTAAGAATGCAGGAATTGCCTGTCCAGAATACCCTCGGGTTTTTCCCGATCTCCCCAACTGTTGCAGCTTCCGAGTAAAACGTTTTTCCAGTCTTAAAGGGACACTGACACCCCCCAAAATTTTTTTTTAATTTTTTGCCAGGCGCTTCATTATGGTGTTGGAGGACTACCCAATTAATATTTTGCAACAGAGTAGCGTATTTTTTTTATAAAGTCAAAAGACGCAACTGCTCGAAACCGAAACCCGACGGAGGTCGGAGAAGTGGAGAGAAGAGAGTGAGTGGCGGAAGTCACGTGGCTACACCCGACCGTGTTTTTTTTTGTTTTTTTTTCTCTCCTTCCCGGTAGCAGACGACATGCGGCGTATGGGAACTGTTCGCCGTGGGATTCTTGTGCAGTTATGTATGTTCCGCTCGTTGTTCTGCACTCCAAGATGAGTTGTTTTGTACATTGAGGAGTTGGAGATGAGTAGTGAGTGCCCGTGGTGAATTTTGATCGGCTCTGAAAAGAATACACCCAAGATGTTGCGTGAAGAGCTGGCTCACATGTCCCGCGTCCGAAACAGAAGTGGCATTGTGCGGCAGAGTTTCCGAAAGATCAACGGGATCGGGACCAATGGCTGGCTGCAATTCCTGTAGACCATTTACGGGCACCTCGGAAAGCGGACGCTACCTGATTTATATGCTCCTTGCATTTTGTCGAAAGTGATTACATTGAGTTCGCAGGTGTGAAAAAGGAAATCCCATACCATTTAATTCAGCGAGGTGCCGTCCACAACATTTGTTTCTTATATTTTTTTGTTTGTTTCTTCAGTAATAATTGTAAAAAAAAAAAGATATGTAGACATAATAAAATATTTGAAAGAAAAAAAAAAAAGGTTTCACGGGGAGTCGAACTCGGTCCCACCGCGTGTGAAGGGGACGTCTTTCCCACTGAGCTACAGGAGCATACCGAAACTGGGGTATCTCTTTCCTTAGTAATAATTCAGCCGATAAACTGTAAGTTGGAAAGTTTGCTGCCGATTTTCCTCTAGCAAAAGCACTCCCGGGTCGAAGTCGGGATGCACCACGCATTGGCGACATTCTCACCTAGTAAAAAAAATCGTACGCGTGCATATTCAACTCGAAGTAGACACGTTGCGCTTGACGTTTGCGCGAGCGATGTCTTCAGCCACAAGAAGGGAGCGACGGCTCGGCGACGTCTTCGTGCAAATCGGCTTGGTGGTCGGGCGTGTCGTACGGGATGAATACAAACTCTTTTGACCATTCCCAAATTTCTCTTTTAAAGGCAGACAAAATTCGCCGGTACCGCGAACGACAGTTCTGAAATAGAGGTCCCACGCCCGTCGTCCGCTGCCATCGCCGTCCCTGGGAGTCCCACGATACGCGAAACGACGCACGCACAGAATGCTTCCGGTTGTCTGTGGAACTTTTTTTTTAATCAACGTATTTACAGCTTTTTAGAAGCCACAAAAAATGGGTTTCATATTTTTTTCCATTTTTAATATTGAGTGTGTGCTTTCAGTGACCCACGACTTTGATTAAATTTGGTGGTCGCATCGATACCTTAGAAAACGGCCCGTGACCGCGGAAAAGAGAGTGAGCGAGACTCGAACCGGCCAGTTCTTGATCGGCGGTTTTCGGGCGAAAAGAAACCGCATTTCGAGCCGCAAATTCTGTTCTGGGTAGTTGAGCTCTCATATGTCACGTACAACTAAAAACCTCGGCGAGTATAAATACCCTGTCAGTGTCCCTTTAACACTTTTTCAGAGGACCGGTGTCCCTCACTGATGCTTGACTATGTTCCAAACTTTTCTTTCATCTTTACTACACCATTGCATCATTGTTACATGTGGCACCGCAGGCCTTCATGAAACGGTTGACTTGTTTTTCTGCAGCATCGTGCCTCCCCTGGGCCAAAATAAATATCAATATCAATCACTCCCTGGCATGTATAGCATTGTTCACAAGGTTTGTAGCTTTCCAATCAAGATAGATAGTTGGCATCATGCTATAGCTGTAGCACGGTAACAAACCGGAATGCACGCATATTTGGGAGTTGGTAAGTAGAGAACAAGTGCATATTTTATTTAATTTCAATTATTATGTCTCTTGGGGCCTGAAGGCATTGCAGAGAGGAGTGGGGGACAATAAAGGATTTTTCGAATAAATTTTAGTCAGCTGTGTTTGAGACATGTGTGCATGCCTCCTTCCCCTGCGTGTGTTCCCGCTCAGCATTTCCCTCTCTTTTCTTTGTCGTTGCGTTTCCTCAATAAACTCACTTGCTCCGTTTTTGTCCTTTGTGTCGCGTTTCTTATATGGGAGACTTTAGGTTGATAGAAGGAATAACCTATTTAAAACCCAACTACTCTGGTTTTTTTGTTGTCTGCTAAACATATTTTGCATTATTAATTAGAAACCCGCAATGCTCACTGGGAGCCGTATTCATGTGCAAACATAACCAAGTTCGCTTCACAGCCTTACGTTTAGAAACAGAACGCCATACCTCCGGCGTCACGTCTCTTTCCGAGAAGCCTGTGCCGCCAGTCGTCAAAATCAGGTCCAGCTTCATGACGTCTGCCCACATTACCAAGACTTCCTGGAAGACACATAACCGCGATGCCGATCTAAGATTAGTTTGACTCTTATAGTCACTGAAAGGATGAGAACGGCAGGTCGACATCAACCGTGCTCATCCTGTCAGCAACTCTAGCATGCCTTGTTTGATGGGAACATCCCCTTTTCTTGCCTTTATCTTTTCCGCGTCGTCGGGAGTGCATTGTCGGATGGTGACCGTCCCATTTATCCTGGAAACGCAAAATGCAAAATATGTGTCGTCCTTTTTCAAGCATCTTTTCAATAAAACATCTTGGCTATGTTGCAATTACTCGAGACTGCGATAAAAGCTGGGAAACTTAGCAGAAGAAAAAGGACTTTGAGACATTTTTTCCCAAGTCCTTTTTCTTCCACCAAGTTTCTCACCTTTTACCACAGTCTTAGGTAATTTTCGGCACAGTCAACATCCACCGGCTCGCCTGCAGGTTCGCTGTATTTCCATTGATCTTCTTGGCATCGCCACCAAATTGTTACGTCATCAGGTTAGTGGGGCAATGTCTCAAAAAAGATATTACTTGATACCATGTATGGGAAGTAGTTACACTTCTATGGTCCTCTCTAAGGGTTGGGAGTTCAAAATATGCTTGCTAAAATATCACTTTTATTTAATTTCACCGTTTTTACCAATTACTTTGTAAACGCTCGTTTTGTGAAATATTTTTTTAAAGAGTTGTTGGGTAACGGAACACTTTCTGACCTAAATATTTCGGACTGTTATCGCACACAGGGTAAAAAGCGCAGAGTATCTCTTTTGTTTTAATTGCTCTCGGTGCAAAAACATACAGACTTTAATGAACCTTTTGTAGAAACATTGGTTCGAGAGTAAATGGTTCTAGTACCCTCTCTCTCTTCCTTCTGGCAGAGCAGAGAGGGAAGATGGTTTCTTTGTGTCAACTTCGGGACAAAAGATTATGCATAGGGTTGTTCGTTTTCGGGTTTTATATCTTTTTAAATTCAGGGGTAAAAATCGGGTGCTATTTTTCAAGCTGATAATCAGGAAGAAATCGGGTTGAAACATTCGAAATTCAAGTTTTTTCGGGTTAAATCTACAAATGTACTCGGTAATACGTTCGCTTTTTTTTATTGCAGGGTATTACAAGCTCTTTAATGCCAACGTATTAAAGAAAAGGATCTCTTTCAAGCTGGTAATTGGGGGGACATCAGGGTTTTCCAGCTCCGATTGCCGTCTGTCGCATCAAGGGAAGCACCTCCCATGGAATCCTCCTCTTCCTCAGGTGTCAACGGTCGTCTTCGATCAGATATTTCGCTATGGAATAAACCTGCTAAATTTTACCAATCTGTTTACGCGACTGACTGTCGCGGACGTTGTAAGTGAGAAAGGCTGGACGCCAGCAAGATGGCCATGCTACCTGAGAGACCCTGCTGGGCGTCGACAGCTAACAGCCGTTGAAGGGGATTGATAGTGCATTTCACAAGCTGCGTGCAGCAGGGCCGAAGCTACGTGGCGTGCTGAGGTGGTTCCACCTGCACAGCGGGGGACGGAAATGTCCCACCGAGGCCCCAACGCCTATTGTCGCTTTATTTCAGCCGGCCCCCGTAGAATGTCACAATGAGTTAGGCGCACTCGTTGGGCGGTTGGTTGAGAGCCGTGTAGCATCCACAGTGCTGCACGCAGCTTGCGAAATGAACTATAGGTCACTGTTGTCCTGAGGTAGGGTAGATAGCGTGTGTGCACCGCAAACTCTGTGTGGTGTAAAAATAAATAGGTTGGTTATGTGGTTTTAGAACTCGGGGAGAAATCAGGTTTAACCCGACACTCCTGAAACATGTTCGGGGTGTAAAAATCGGGTAAAATCGGATGTTACCCGAAAACGAACAACACTAATTATGCATGATGGGGACAAAGGCAAGTTTGGGAGAGCCATATCTAGGTCACAGCGCGTCAATGAATGAACAGGACGTGGCTGATACTTTGGGTATCGAACGGGCGGGACAGGCCTTGTGCGCACATTGTTTTCTAGCCATTTAGTCTCGAACCCAGTCGCGTGTCTAGGTGGCAGCACATATTCCCCAAAAGGTCCATAGTGAGTTTGTGCAAGTGCAGTATGGAACAAGTATTTGATGTATTCGTAAAGAAGGCATACGTGCTAAAGCACTAGTCGAACAAGAGATATCCCTTATTTGCTTCTTCTCCCGATAGTGACGATGGTCGAGCAAATAACTGTGCCGACAAGCCATATCACTCCCTAAATTCGAGACAAGTTAAAGAAAGCTGTGCATCTTTAAAATAGACAGAATGCTCCTCAAATATCTCTGGTGGGTGTCTGTCTCCGTGTACATTCAGATAGCTAAAACACTGAGTTGTCACTTGTTTATTTATTTATTTATTCATATTACCCCTAAAGGCCCTCGTGAGAGGGTATTACATAGGGGGGGGTACATAAATCGTTCCAATAGGAACTAGTGCACAGTGAACAACATATGAGAATACTAGAAAACAATCAATACACTTAATAATAAAAAGAAAATAAAGGATACACTCAAAAACGAATAAAAAACATACACTCACTCATCACACTGCAATAAAGCTGAGTCAAGGTAAAAACAAAATAGTACACTTTGCTCTGCACGTTCCGGAAAAGAGGAAACAACAATGTAAAACAGCAAAAGTTAGATGGCATCAGTAGTACTTGTAACAATCAAGTGACAACAAACAATTATTTGTAGTAGCTACCTCCACCTGCCCGAGTTCCTAACTTCCAACACAGCCTTCGAAAATTACGTCACTCGGTGTACGCATAAATGTTTGTCCTTTATCCCCAACATGTTTCAATTAGGTAAAAAAAATACATCTGCTCACACTGAAACACTGTTTACTTCAACCATGAGCGATGGAGGGTACCGACTGAAAAAGCCGCTTTTATGCGCAGTGTTGTAGCATGCTTGGGTGGTTGCTCAGATAAAAATGAGCTGAACGAGGTTCATTAACTCCTCTTTTGCACAAAAACAGTTCTAAACTACTTACTAAGTTCACAATACCTTAAAGGAGCGGTGCAACAATCAGGGACGGCGCCAACGGGAAGCGAGGGGTGGCGGGCGCCTCCCCTAAAATTTCTTTTGCCACCCCAAGATGAAGCAGCTTTGTTCACAAATAATTACCAACGACGTCGGCTTGAAGACCCAGTGTAACGAGTGTCCAGACTTTAGAGCAGTGCATGCCTTTAATTTACCCTTTTTTTTCTATTAACGTCCACCCACTGGAAGTCGCACCGCGAGCGAGTAAGCTGTCAAGCGCAAAAAGAAGCTCCCCTTTGTGACGCCTGCTGGCTTTTCTCTCCATATTCCGCTCTGTGGTGCTTATCTTAGCGGAGACCGGGGACGTGAACGAAGGGGAGCTTAGTTAAAGTCGAGGTCATGGGGAATTCCGGACTGTCTCAGAAAGGGAAGCAAAACCTGGTTGGGAGTCTGAGCATTGGAGACAGAGGTCCCTACTGCGATAACCCCCACCCCCCCCCCCCCCCCCCCCCCCCCGCCCCCACTCTTCCTTCTCGTGTCTCCGCATTTCCCTTTTCAATGAGCACACCGCATAAGCTATCTTCGATAAGCCCGTGGGCGACAGCACCTCAGAGCAACCCCCCCCAATTTGGTTCGCCTCCCCACTGCCGCCCCATTATGAAGATCCTGGCGCCGTCCCTGGCAACAATATTCAATTGGAATTCATTTTCATTCAATCTCTCCTTTGCGAATTTTGATGACGTACGTGGGGATCGCAGTACACCCCAATGATGATATTTGAATGCAGTTCATAGATTGGACCCGAGCATTGCGTGGGCACTCGATTTGGGCTCGTGATAATTACTAGCTCGAGAAGCATTCGGGTAGTGGCCCGTGTCCAATCCCTGCAACGACGACAATAGCCGAGCCATAACAATGTCTGGAACTCAGCGCGTGTCCTGTGCTTTGCCAACCCCAGTGCGTGGCTATGATCAACATTGGCGGCATATAATCTGCTCTAGATCACGTGGCCGCTTGTTGTGGCTGCGAGTTGAGGGGGTGAACGTAGAGCACTATATAGCTCCTTCGGAGCAGAGTAGCGCAATCTAGAACGCCGCCTCTCGGCGACTAGTGGCGAACGCTCGGAGGTTCCAACTGCGGTCAGAAATGCATGGAGAACGTGAGAAAATCGTTGTTTCTTCAGTAATGTGGGAATGTACGGAATGGCAATCGTTTTTGACATAATAATGGAACATTTTAGAATAATTTGCGCTAAGTTTTGTGCCTTGAAAGGACCTGACTTTTTTTTAAAAAATTGCTTGAGCGGCATCATGCAGCAGACGACACGGCGACGTCACACCATTCACGTGACCCACTCTGGCCAACCCGAAAAGCCCATCTCCGCTGCGAGCAAAAATCGTCTGCTTCAAACGCCATTGCCTTGGAAATTGCCTTCTCAAAATTTGCACACGCATCCGATATTATTAAAACTTTGATAAAGTGTTTAGTGCTTTACTAACTTCACGACAGGCTAGTTTTGAAAAGTGTGAACTCGCCGTTCATTTTTTAATCAGCCGTGTTGTATCGATCTCTATGTATTTTCCCATAGGGCGGGCCGCCTCCTGGAACCCTGAGTACCACGTGACTCGCGCCGAGCCGCTCTGTCGGCCATGTTGTCGGCAAAACACGGAGTTCAAAGGATTGCGCTACTCTGCTCCGTAGGAGCTATATAGTGCTCTAGGTGAACGCTGCTCGTGTTTCTTTAATTTTTTTCTGGGACTTTTGTTGCGTGGGGTGAAAAACAAAAGCGTGTTTCATAGGTCATTAATGTCAGTGATCCGTTCTAAATGGTATTTGCGCGAAGTACAAAAATTGCTGCATCGCCCCTTTAAAAAGCAAGTGCTTATAAGCCGTTCACACTCCCACTTACAAGGTTTTCGACTGCACCAATTCCACGAGATTGTGGCCACTCGTGTCCGTCGCTTCTGACCGAAAACATCTGTCGCTCACTGCGTAACAAAGACAAGAACACGATTTAACATGCGTTCATAAACGTCCACATGCCATTTTTGCGCATGCAATGTTTACCGGTGAAGTTTACGCTTGCCTGTAAGGATCCCAGTTCGGATAGTGTCGTCGCCGTCTTGCTCCCGGTCCATGATTGACGCAAAAACCCGACTCTCGAGAGAAATTGGATAATTTCTCTGCACCTACGCCGCGACAGTTCAAAGCTCAAGTCCCATCAGCTGAAAATAGAGAGTGTAGTCAACTGTCCCAACTTGAGTGTTGCCCACTCAACCCGTTCATTGACCCTGAGTCATCGGGAGGAGGAAGGGTCGACAGCAGAGTCAACAAGTCGAAATAAACGAACGCGCCTTGAGATTGGGGTTCCTACAAGACGTACGACCGGAAGTTCCTGGTTGGGAGGCGCTCGCAACGTTTTTACGTAAAGGAGGCCGCCATTTGAAGGCCAGAAAACGTGGTAGTGATTATTTTGACGTCCACTTTCAAAATAATTTTGAGTATTATTTTGACATCCGTAACGCCACTTTTTGAAGACGTGAAAAAAAATTTAAAAACATTTTGACGTCCTCCGTCAAAATATTTTTTGTAATTATTTTGACATCTCCAACTCATAGAGTTATTATAATGTACGCTAGAGGTTCAACTGGCGCTAGTGTGCTGTTGCAAATGGACTTCTTCCAAAACCGACGCGCCCCATTGCGGCGAAATTACCACGCAGTGCACTGTGGGAACTAGTTGGCCACTCAGTTTCGGTTTCGACTGAGCAGATTCATTTCATGCTATCACGCCGCGACCGAACGCGCTGCTTGCGTTTTCGATTGTCTGACTTTTTTACGAATGTACAATACACTCATTCTCGAGCGATACAAAACGAAGGCCGGGGAACTTTTCTTGGTTCCCGAAACACCGGATATTATGAGTGCGTAGGCAAACGTAGTAAGACGTGGCTTAATCACCTCATCTTTGAGTTCAATTTCAATAATCCCGTCTAGTACCAGTGAACTACAAGTGAAATTCGGTCACCTGGAGTGTTACACGTATTTTGTTTGCCAAACGACCGCTTCTTGTTACTTCATTGGGCGAAAAGCAAGGCGCACCCTCACAGGAGTATCAAAGTTGAGCCCAGCGTTGACGCATGAACTTTTAAGAAAACACAATAAATTCGACCTCACTACTGCACAAAGTTACTACGATGTCTTCCTTGTGTCATCATATATCTCCCACTCAAATTTTATGCTGATAAAAAATTAAGTTTTCGCCAACGCTGAGATCGGCTAGCTACGACGGAGGCCCTAACAAGCGTCCCCTACTGCTCGCTAAGCCTTTTTGGACGAGCTTTTACTGACGCCCAAAATCTGTGCCTGAACGGTGTGTTTGAAATTATCTCGGCATACTCAGGCAGGAAGAAAGCAAACACATAACAAATATTATGGCTATTAGCAACCGTCAAATGCACTTTGAATAATTTCGTTCGTTTGGGGTTCACGCCCGTCCGGCGTACTTCTGGCGAATGGTGCGACATTTTTCACACAAGTGCTCGACTTTTGATTTCTTAAAACGGTTTGTATGGGCGAAACGCGCATGCGCGATGTTGAATATTAGTAAAATGCAAGCGGGTGGGGACTTCGCTTCGTGCAGTGCTGCGGGTCAGTACAGATAAGCGATAAGAAGTGTGTTATAATCAGAGTGTCGAACCGAAATTTTTATTGGTTCGGTTCGGGTTCGGGTTCACGGCTTTCGGTTCAGTTCCGAATCAGCTCCGGGGAGTAAAATATAACGGTTCAAACCGGTTCGAACCGGTTCAAACCGGTTTGAACCGATAAATTGAGAATTTGTTTTCCGCAGTTTTTTCCAATATGCACTATTTCCGCCGTGAAACGAGTAACTGTATAGTTGTTTATCGTTCGTACAATCTACTTTTACTTTCAGGTACCAAAAATAAGAAATTGCGTTATTTATTTTGACACAACAGTAAAATAAAATCTAGATCAACATAAAGAAACGTCGTGTTTATACGACTGAGCATTCATCTGTTTACCTCAGTTATATATATTTTACCTTGATCGAAAGGTAGTCACGAAGTACAGTAGGCCACCTAAAATACCCGTGATTGGTATTTTAGCTTTGCATCGCAGGATTAAAAGCTGAATCGTTATTGTGTTCTTGAACTAGGAAAGTAATTGAAGTGCCTAAAATCATGGAATGGGTATCTCGTCGCCGTAAATATCATAAAATATACTTTACAAAATACGTTTTACAATATACCAGGAGCGGCCGTAAGGAGCAACATATTTTGCACGCCTTGCAACATTCGAATTCCAAGCGTACATATCTGAAATTGGGCGCGCGGACGTAGTTTTTAAGAAGTTGTATCTCCAATTTGTTCCTTTAGAACTCAATTTTAAGGTCGTGAAGTATTAAAAATAAAGCAAAATCGGAGACCGTGCATTTCCTGTGTCCTATACCAGCCTGTTTGTCGTCTGCGCACTTGTTTCTGAGGTCACTCCCAGGTTGCTTGCTGAACGCAACAACGCCGAAACTCAATAGCAGAAGCTGGCGATGAGCAAGATAATCGCGATAATTAATACTTCTAACGAAATATATAAACAATGACTACTTGGGAGCAATCTCACAATTGTGAGATTGCTCCCAAGTAGTCATCGTCTTCACACTGGTTTAAACCAGTGTGAAGACGATGAACATCCGGTACAGGGCATAGGAAATGTACGATCGCCATTTTTGCTATATTTTTAATACTTTACTATGGCCTTAGCTCTAAAAAAAAATCAAAACTTTTCGCGAGATTAGGTTCGCATGCCCAATTTCAAGTATGTACGTTTTGAATTCGAATTTCGCAAGGCGTGCCAAATGTGTTAGCCCATATGGCCGCACCCTGTATATGATGACGACGCGACTGAGCTAAAAGCAGTTGAAATATTTATGACAAACGCATGCATTTGTAGTCACTCTGAATCAGTGACATACCTTTTATAAAAACGGTGACAATCACAACACTCGTTTTCCTAACTAACACCCTTTACACTCAGCGCCGTGATGCAGGCGAAGAATCATGCCGATAAAAGGGATCGAAATGGTGCACTATCATTTATACGCAGCTTCGCACTCAGGTCGAATCTGGCCTAAAATAGCGCGTACTCAAGTGAATATTTTTCTTATGTAGTATAAAGTGGCATAGCCGGGCTTTTGAGGTTTGTTCTTGAGAAGATGCCAGTCAATTCCATTTGAAAATAAGAATCGCACTTGCTAACTGCAATTTTACTTATTTATTTATTTATTATATACTGCAGGCCTTGATTAGGACCGTGCAGGTGTGGGGTACATTTCCAAAAGATGTAATTAATAAAAAAGGACACATTTCAATATTTCAACTATCGTTTTACATAACTAACGGTAAAAATAATAGCAATGACTGTCGGAAGAAACGATCAACGTACCGATCTAAAAGATGCATATATATATATATACAAAAAAGGCACATTAGAAAATTTCAGTCGTCGTTTTACATAACTAGCAGTAAGGAGAATAGCAAAGAGTGTGATAATATGCAATGAACGCTCGAATTAAAAAATGTGACAGAAAATATAAATATAAACTTCAGTTGCCAGTCAGCGTTGTGTTCGGTCACTTATCGTTCTTGTCCCTTATCTTTTTGTGTGTTTTGTTTTGCGCTGTTTCCAAGTTTGTATGATTTAATGCTTTATTGAAGTCAGGCAGATAAAAACATTATAGGGCAGTCTGTTCAAATTAGATAGAGTGCGTGGAAAAAATTACAACTTGAAAATGTTAGTTCGAGCAAACATAAGCTGGAGAGAAAACTCATGGTGGTTCCTAGAACAAAATAGTATTTTAGGCTCTACTCAACATAACAGCCCTGACGTTCTGCGTGCGTAATCGTCATAGTTCCGTCACGCTTCCCTGTTGACTTTGTTTTTGTCCTGCCCAAAGACACATAAAATTGCTGTTCATGACATAAAGGAGGCAATAACAAATTTCTATATGTTTGGCAAGTTAGATATGCGTGAGGAACACAGTAACGCTATTGCAAATCGCTTCGCGTCTATCGAGGATAAAAATGCCAAAAAAGATATGCAGAGCATCTTTCAGATAATTTGCGGGTGAATTTACTAATGATGTATATCTTCAAGGTCATCGACCTTTCATTTATGTTGTGAAACCTTCAGTCAGTAATTCAATATAGTTTTATTATCATCAATAAATGTGACTGTATTAAGTTCACATAACTGAACATAATGGATTGACGGGCTTGTTAGTTGTTGACAGACGTAATCAAAGAGTAGTGCATAGAAGACGAAATAAACCTTTTAGTTGCAAGTTAGCGCTGGTCCTGTGTTTTACTCCTTCTCTGACCCGTCTTTTATGCGGTACTCTTTTTCCATGTCACATAACCGCTTGAGACCGATACGGAAGGACAATACTCGAATACACCAGCGGTTGAGGGCTGTGGCAACATTTTTTATTTTTTTTATTTCGCCGTTTGGAAGTGTGAAACACCGGGTCGCCGGATATGCATAATAGGACTTTGTGCTAATATAATAGATTTGAAGTGAAATAGGCGAAATGGGCAGAAAGAGAACGAAAATAAATGGTAATCTTAAAAAGAATCTGATGCACGACGCATTCACGCAAAAAAAAAATTGTAGAAACGTAATGATATACCCATTACACATAAATAGCCCAAAGGACAGACGAAGATTCTTATATCACTAACTTAAATTACATTTGGCTTTCAGTTTGCATAAACTTGAAACTTCGGGAAATACCGCCTCGGGAGGTTAATGTTACATTCGTCCTTGACGTGCTCTTGTTTTTGGCACTCGCTTTACAACTTTGTGCTTTCAGTCATTCGCTCTAACATTTTGTTTGCCTACTATATATCCGCGAGACTGCTATCTATACTGCACAAATATAGAATTCGATTATCTGCTTTTGCTAGTTTTGCGAACATCGCATTTCATGAGGAAACTGAACTGTTTAACATGGTTTGCACGTGACGTCATCGCACTATGCTGGTGGTAATAGACCTTTCCGGAAATATGTGGCGTCCCCATTGTATGCTTGACGCATTGTGACGTTCCGATGTACGGCACGTGAAATTCATCAGGAGGTCGGGACAAAATAGACGTTGGTTTAATGTTCTGTGGTTTAATAACTCAGAGAAGGCAGAAGGAAAGCAAAACGAAGAATGCGATGAGCTCTTTTTGTGTTCCCATTATTTTTTGGGCGTTCTAAGCTCCTAATTATAAAAGAATGAACCGCGTCGCTACTAAAATATACGAAGCGTTC